GTCTTGCAGAAGAGCAAAGTGTACTCCTGACGGCAATAAAGAGCAGGATCTACTTTTAAGGCTATCGCCCTGCTATCGTATCTGCTGGAGCTTTTAATTGTGCATGCAAATGGGTAGTTACATTGTTTACCAGCACTCGGCATGTGCCTCCTCGCCCTTTAACAACTCGACAAATGCCAATTTTTCACTGCGTTAAACTTCAGTAGACTCGTTGAGCTCACTGTTTGCACAGGCATGCGAGAGCTTGGAAAGGGGCCTCGTGGGCCAAAGATGGGGACCAAATGGCCCTCCAGGCATGTGGCTGGACTACAACTCCCATCCTCCTTTGCCATTGGCCATGCCGGCTGGAGCTGATGGGAGCTGTTCACAGTGCAATGGCAAATCCAAGCCAGCCAATTGTGCTTGAGGAGGGTGTCGTGAGAATCATGGCCAAGGGTAGCAAGGAATTTGCATTCTATGAAAGCAAACTGTTGTGTTAGGAAAGTTCGCCTACAGAAACTTGTTGTTGTTATTTAGTCGTTTCCAACTCTTCGTGACCCCAAGGACCAGAGCGTGCCAGGCACTCCTGTCTTCCACTTCCTCCTGCAGTTTGGTCAAACTCATGTTAGTAGCTTCGAGAACACTGTCCAGCCATATCGTCCTCTGTAGTCCCCTTCTCCTTGTGCCCTCCATCTTTCCCAACACCAGGGTCTTTTCCAGGGAGTCTTCTCTTCTCATGAGGTGGCCAAAGTATTGGAGCCTCAGCTTCAGGATCTGTCCTTCAAGTGAGCACTCAGGGCTGATTTCCTTCAGAATGGATAGGTATCTTGATCTTCTTGCAGTCCATGGGACTCTCAAGAGTCTCCTCCAGCACCATAATTCAAAAGCATCAATTCTTCGGCGATCAGCCTTCTTCATGGTCCAGCTCTCACTTCCATACATCACTACTGGGAAAACCATAGCTTTAACTATACGGACCTTTGTCGGCAACTTGATGTCTCTGCTTTTTAAGATGCTGTCTAGGTTTGTCATTGCTTTTCTCCCAAGAAGCAGGCATCTTTTAATTTCGTGACTGCTGTCACCATCTGCAGTGATCATGGAGCCCAAGAAAGTAAAATCTCACAGTAACTAGCATTGGAGAAAAACGTAAAGGAACTACCAGAAAACATAATACTGAAAGGAGAAAACATAACAAGAAAGCAGATTCCAACTAAACATCAGGAATAACTTTCTGACAGTAAGAGCTGTTAGACAGTGGAACCAGTGTTAGAAACTGAGATGTGAAAGCTAGGAGCTAAATAGCAGCTTAAACCTAGGTTATAGGCACAGCTACAAAATTTCTAGGTGCGCTTTTTTGTGACAAGAATACAAAACTGAAAATGAATGAACCGCAGCTAAAATTCATGTTCATTTTTTATATGGTCTAGTCCTTCCCCTGCCCACCCCCCTAATGTACTTAAGAGGGTCTTTCCTCCAGTCTTCAATAACCTACTATATTCTGTATAAAGTCATTCCAAATATCATTGTATTCATGGCAACATATGAAGGGACGCGAGTGGCGCTGTGGGTTAAACCACAGAGCCTAGGACTTGCCGATCAGAAGTTCGGCTGTTCGAATCCCCGTGATGGGGTGAGCTCTTGTTGCTCGGTCCCTGCTCCTGCCAACCTAGCAGTTCGAAAGCACGTCAAAGTGCAAGTAGAGAAATAGGTACCGCTCCGGCGGGAAGGTAAACGGCGTTTCCGTGTGCTTCTATGGTTTGCCAGAAGCGGCTTAGTCATGCCGGCCACATGACCCGGAAGCTGTGCGCCGGCTCCCTTGGCCAATAAAGCGAGATGAGTGCCGCAACCCCAAAGTCGGTCACGACTGGACCTAATGGTCAGGGGTCCCTTTACCTTTACCTTTATAAATGGATAGCTTCCTTCTTCATTACTTCACTTGAGTTGATGAATCTGTTCAACACTTGACTCCCTTCCGCTTCCATCTCTCTCTGTATGTACATGCATATACACAGAGCAACTTAACTAGACTTTAGACTGCTTTTTTTAGTGTCAGGGAGTAGAAACAGTGGGCAGGAAAATGCCCACTCTTAAACTTTTGACTTAATTTCTCTCTCTACGCCCCCCCCCCAGCTAAGTTCTATCAGCCTTATGGGGTTTTTTTGGTTTGTTTTTCCTACTCTGCCATTTAGTCTTCCTCTTTTTCTCTGCTTGGAGATTAATCGTGCAGGAAATGAGTAAAACCTCCGAGATCTGCTTGCTACTGCGGTCCATCTACATTTTAAGTGTCTCTAGAATGGCTGCTTTAAAATGGCTGATTAGGTACATGCTGTCGACTTAAGTCTACAGAGGCCGCCACGTGAAAGACCGACTGATATATAACGCAAGGGGATTTATGAGCATGTTAATAATTTAGGAGTTGAGGTATCTGAAATGTTTTTAAATTATTAAGTATGAGGGAAGCATAAAAGAAAGCAGGCCTCCCCATTTATTAATTAATCATACTTTTCCTTCAAGGGAAGTATAATAATTAATGGTCAAGGATGATGGGAATTGTTGACCGGCAACATTTGAGGGTCACAGATTCCCTGCCTCACCTCTAAGCTCTCTAATCAGCAAAAATAGTTTTTAACATCATAGACCCTTGTAACATTCATAAAATTATAGAATTGTCTAACCCCCTCCAACGCAGGAATATGCAGCTGTCCCATATGGGAATCCTCCAATTTTTAAAAAATCAGAGCAATCTACTGATTTTGATGAGACGAGCCTGCCTAATTTTCTTGTCATAATCTTAATACCTATTTTTTATCCCGTTCATGAAAGCTCATCTCTGAAAACCTAGAGATGAGGCAATGCATCCTCAGCTTTAAAATACTTTTCCCCCTCCCGAAATGTATCCTTAAACAATATACCTGAAGGAGCGTCTCCACCCCCATTGTTAAGCCCGGACACTGAGGTCCAGCTCCAAGGGCCTACTGGCAGTTCCCTCACTGCGAGAAGTGAGCTACAGGAAACCAGGCAGAGGGCCTTCTCGGGAGTGGCACCTGCCGTGTGGAACGCCCTCCATCAGATGTCAAGGAAATAAACAACTATCTGACTTTTAGAAGACATCTGAAGGCAGCCCTGTTTAGGAAAGTTTTTAATGTTTGATATTTTATTGTGTTTTTAATATCCTGTTGGGAGCCGCCCAGAGTGGCTGGAGAGGCCCGGCCAGATGGGCAGGGTATAAGTAACAAATGATGATATTATTATTATTATTATTATTATTATTATTATTATTATTATTATTATTATTATTATTATTCTAGTTGGTGGGTAATCTATCAAGTTGTTTAGTCTTGCTAAAAATTCACACAAGAATCCTAACCCCGATTTGCTTCTGGCAATTAAATAAAAAGCCTCTTAATGGCCTGAAATGGTTAAGCCTGAGAAAAGAACTAATACAGCTAAGGTTTTTTAAAATTTATTTTTAAGGCAAGAAATGGTTGGCTGTATGACACAGAACTCCACAGGCCACTGCAGCTGTGGAAAAAGAAGAAGCTGTTGAACAGGATGATTGTGGTTTGCTGTGAGAACTTAATTTTCCTGTTGACCATTTTTGAACAGGAAGCTGAACAAATTTTAGTGCTACAGATTCTGATCTTTAGGTGTAAAATGCTCACAGGGAGAATAGTATCTGTTTTGCTGCAGTGATGAGCGTTGCAACGTGCACAACTCTGGAGTAGTTCGGAAATTCGGCCGATGGTTACGTGACCTAAGTATATATTTTTAGATTATTATTGTCATTAACCTTTTGAAGCTGTAGTTTTTAAAAAAAAGTGTTTTTAAATCCTGCAAGCAGGTTTCCCCCCTTCTTCTATTGTTGTAGTAGTCAATCTTTAAAGTGTTTCTGTAATTGTTTTCTTTCTTCATTGGGTGAGAGAGTGAGGGAGAATGGATGGGAAAGCTATTGGGACAGATAATATGAAATTATATTAGCTGGAAGTGACTGCAGGTAATGTTGTGTCCTCTCCCCGCCTCTCAAGAAAAAAACCTTCTCAGGCATTTACTTCTAGAGAAGTATCTTGGGATCTTAAAATTCCTCTGGACACAGAGTGGGGGTGGAGCACTATAGGAAGCGCAAAAGCTTTAGTTGGAGCAGGGAAGAAGTGATTCAGTTGTTTCCAGTACCACCCTTCCAAAATAATTGAGTGCAAAAACACATTGGTACAGTATTTGAGTCCCCCCCGCCCCATTGAATTTCTCCTCTCCTGCCGCACCCCAAAGTAATGAGCGATCACGGTTGCTGTTACCTAGAGCATGTTTTATTTATTCTTCCTGGCTTTCTGCTTCTGAGGTTGCAGTACTAAAGCATGTATATTTTGAATAAGAGAGGTGACTTTCTCCACAAATGCTCTTTCCTCACTTTCTGCCACTCTTCTGGCAGGCTAAGTACCAATAACCCCCCCTCCCCGTTCTTTTATTCATTAATTTATTCATTTTCTATCCCACCCTTCTTCTAAGGAGGTCTTTTCTAAGGTGGTCTTTTCCATGTATTTTAGTCTCCTGTCAGGTGCATACATTTGGCAGAGAGATAGAATTGTAGTGTTGCAAGGGACCCCCAGGGGTCATCTATTCCAACCCCCTGAAATGCAGGAATCTCTTGTCCAATGTGAGGCTCAAACCCATGACCCTGAGATGAAGAATCTCCATTCTCTTTTTAAGTTCTTCTGTCTCGTTCCTTATCGCCCTGCTTGCTTGATTTGACAAAATATCAGATTTTCAGTCATTCTTGTGAGGTCCAAGGCTATAATAGCATCATGATTTTAATTATTCTGAAGGGCCCTTTCTCTTTAAAAAGCTGTGTACCACCCAAGAGGGTGGTATGTCTGTTGCCTAAAACGCTGAGGTTTTTGTTATTTCAGTTGTTGCGGCTCAGATTTGTCATTATCTATACATTTACTAATGTGTAAGGAGGGGACTGCCCCTCAGCAGAGCATTTCTGAGAAGTTACAAAATGGTGTTTTTTCCCCCCTTGACAGGTTTCACAGTGATAGAAGAACGTTTTAGGTTTAAACCATGCCTGTCCCTCCTCCTCCAGCTCCTCCCCCTCCTCCAACACTTGCCTTGGTAAGTCTCAGCTTTTTTATTTTAAATTTTTTATGGGGATAAACAACCACTATCTATTGTATGGATCAATGAAAATGAAGCCAAGGTCTTAGCCAGTGTGGTGTAGTGGTTAGAGAGTTGGAGACTCTCAGGAGAGCAGGGTTCTTAATCCTCAGTCATCCTTGGTGTCTGAACCTGAACTATAAATCATAAAATTAAAAACTGATGAATCCAAATAGGAATTGAACTGATTTTAAAAATATTTTTAATAGGTTGACTCCTTACTTGTAATCTGCATCCTCGGGAGTTATTATGATGTGCACAACATTTAGGAAAAGGAGTAGGAATCTAGTGCAGGAATGTTGCACGTGATTTTACACTTGGGGAAAACATGCTTATTTAGTGGAATTCTGAAGAGGCGTGAGTCAACTTCTGGAACATCTGGAGAAATTTGAGCTGTTTCATGTTGCTCAGACAAAATATTTTCTTTTTCTATTAAACTTTTTTTTTAAAAAAAAAAGATGTGTGTGCTTCTGCTAACAAAAGATAATTCAAAACTTTATAGCAATCATGGCAGATTTTAAATATGGAGCCTGTAAAATTGGGATGGCTCTTTGATCAGAATTCTTTAAGCCCTTTTAATAAAAAGCATGATAAGAAACTGTTTTATTCCCTTCGAAATATATCCAGGAAATCCTCTGTTTGGATATTGGAAGTGTTCGCCTCTATCTGGAAAATGACTCTCTTTGTGCAAGCGAACTGTGTGCCTGTTTCCAAGACAGCAAACTTAAAGTGTCTCTTCTTTACTGACTTAAATACTGACTTAATTATGAACAAGTTTTTAAAAAACACACATTCAGGGCTGCTATACACTTTGCATCCACAGATGTATGTCTGAAAGTCCCAGCTTATCACTGGTTCTTGGTGTTTAACACATGTTTAGGGGTGCACCCCTGCCCTGCACACACTGACCTGTTTCATACAGGATTAAAGGGGTGGTGACAGGTAACATCGGTCCTACTGCATGCCTTGGCATTTCCTGCACGTTTGCCAGGTTCTGACATCGGGACAGAGCCATTCTCACATATTATGTTGGGGTAGGGACGCGGGTGGCGCTGTGGGTAAAAGCCTCAGCGCCTAGGACTTGCCGATTGAAAGGTCGGCGGTTCGAATCCCCGCGGCGGGGTGCGCTCCTGTTGCTCGGTCCCAGCGCCTGCCAACCTAGCAGTTTGAAAGCACCCCCGGGTGCAAGTAGATAAATAGGGACCGCTTACTAGCGGGAAGGTAAACGGCGTTTCCGTGTGCGGCTCTGGCTCGCCAGAGCAGCGATGTCACGCTGGCCACGTGACCCGGAAGTGTCTCCGGACAGCGCTGGCTCCCGGCCTCTTGAGTGAGATGAGCGCACAACCCTAGAGTCTGGCAAGACTGGCCCGTACGGGCAGGGGTACCTTTACCTTTTAGTAAAGTCCAACAGTGACTGTCCCAGCTAATTGTCACAGAATCAGCAGTGCTATGCAGAACAGCATCCATGTTTGGGAAAGGTTTGTGGCTCGGTCGTACAGCATCTGCTTTCAGTCCCTAGGATCTCGTCGTCTAGGACTAGGGCCCTTCAGGATTTAACCTCCTTCTGTCGGGCCTGTAAGACAGAGCTATTCCACCTGGCCTTTAATTTGAATTCAGCCTAATCTTTTATTTGCCTTCTCTTCCGTCCCCCTCCCCTTTTATGAAGATCACCCGCTCTGAGACCCCACAGCTAATTCCCCCCGGCCGCCTCGCTGGCCCAAGTAGGACTAATTCAGCCAGCTAGCCCTGGGGATTATCTAATGCTTATTTCCCCTAAATTGATTTTTGAATTTTATTGTTATTCATGTTTTTATACTGTATTTTATGCTGCTTTTATAATTAAGTGTTTTAAATTTGTTGTTAGCCGCCCTGAGCCCGGTTTTTGAACCGGGAAGGGCGGGGTATAAATAAAAAAATATTATTATTTATTATTGTCCTGGAGAGCAGCCGCCAATCAGAGTAGATGAATCATAGCATTGCAGAGTTGGAAGGGACCATGAGGGCCGTCTTGTCCAACCCCCCGCAATGCAGGAATATTTTACCCAGTGTGGGACTCGAACCCACAACCCTGAGATTAAGAGTGGGGGTGGACTTGTTGACCCTTGGAGTCCCTTCCAGCTCTGTGATTCTATGCTGTTCCGACTGGTGTGGCTCTGTATAAGGCCAGTTCCTGTTGGTAGAATAATGAAACACAACTGGGTCTGGAGGGATGCTGTGCCTGAAGGAAAATGGCTGCTTTTCTTTTCTTAAAAAGATAATAATTAAATAGTCATACCCTACCTTTCTTTCTGAACCAGACTGACATACAGCTGTCAATTAAGGGGGGGGGTAAAAACATGTTGGGAAAGGTCATTGCACAAACATTTAAGGAGTCATCCATGTGGAAAGAAGTACAAAAACGATAATGTTGCAAACAATTGGTTTTGTATCTTCTGCCCCATTTAGACATTTTGTATTTAAACCATATAACATATGCCCACCATGTGATATTGTGAACACCAGAAATGGTGGGGCAGAGCTGCTCTGCTACCTTCCCGACAGGTGGGTGGCTGTTTCATATTGGGGGGGGGAGAGAGAGAGGACAGGCCAGGAGGGAGGTTGGCATGGTGTAAACGCACCGGCAGAGCCAATTCGGCACTGCTGGTGGTCTGATTTGGTATTCAAACAGCTATCTATCCGATTTGCAAAAAAATAGTTGGGTAACTATTGACTCTGAGGTGTAAAAGAAAGGTGATTCCTACACCATGAATCATTGTGACTTAAATGCATCTTTCCTTGTTCTTCTTCATAATTAGTATCATTCCTTTGCAGGCGAGTACAGAAAAGCCGAACTTAAACAGATCAGAGCAAGCAGGACGGAATGCTCTTCTCTCCGATATTACCAAAGGGAAGAAACTTAAGAAGGCTGTTACCAATGACAGGAGTGCCCCAGTCTTCGATAGTAAGTATACTTCTGTGTCTTTCAGTGGGTTATCTGTGCAGAATACTTTCTACACCACTAGCCAGACGTCTTGAAGCTGTGAAATGTGTAGGGTTTTCCTCTGTGGTTCTGAATGTATGCATGTAAAGGCTGCGTACACCTGGCAATTTAAAGTGGATTTGATGCATCCCATGTGTGCATATTTCTTGTGTTGTCTATAATAACATTGTCCTCATCCATGTGGTAGTCTGCACTTTCCCTTCATTTCCTGGTTTTTCTGATCCACGGATAATGTGAGGGCGAAAAATCCATCCTAATATTTCAAATGGGTGTACTAAGGTGTGCGCAGGATTATGTCTGGAGTGGTTTTACTGGGGTGGCATCTATCACCATACTGTCTGCCTCTGTTGGCTAGATGCAAACATCCTGCTGTTTTCTGCAAGTCTGGTATATTGGAAAATATGTGTCTCAATTTTTATTTTCATTTTTAAGAAAACGACCACATTGTACAGGTAAATAAATACCTGTGTGCATGCCCACAATGGACCTCAGGTTTCTGGAATGCAGAGTGGGTGAGGAAGTACTAATTTGGGGGCATGGAAAACAGCACACAGTAGTGTGGATGGGAAATATTCAGAGTTCAATTGAAAGCACTCATGTATGCACAAAAGTGCATGCAGAAAAACCAGGTCCGTGTGATCCACATGTGCAGTGCCACTCTGTTAAGTACACAGCCCAAAACTTGAATGGCCTTGACTTATCCTAGACCAGGGCTGGGGAACCACTGGCCTTCCAGATGTTGTTGGACTCCAACTCCCATCAGCCCTAGCTGCTCCTTGGGGCATGATCAGTCCGCTGTTTTACTTAAAGCAGCTACCAATAACCTACAGATCCTGTTAGGATGTGAAGACCTTTCTATATTCTCCCAGACTTTTTACAAAGTGTTTTGTTTTTGAAGTTCCTTGCATCTTTTAAAACCCTCTGTTGCTATTCCGGGTTTCAATTGCACCATCTTTATTCTGCTTTAGATTTTAGGTATTGATCTGTTTTACAGTTGTAACCTTGATTGCGCATCACCCCTAAGTTATTGGGTAGTATGGATGGGTAGAACAATCAACCATTTCACGGGGGGGTTCCGTTCCCGCCCCCCCCCACGCATGTCGTTGGGATGCCCCGCCCTGTTACGCTGTGCACCACCCGTTTACGGGTCACTTCCTGGTTCAACAAGGTGTACACATGCCTGATCGCAGGCCCTCCCTTCGTGTTCATGTCAGTTGGTCATTGCTTGTAAGTACATTTTTTAAAAAATACAGTGGTACCTCGGGTTAAGTACTTAATTCGTTCCGGAGGTCCGTTCTTAACCTGAAACTGTTCTTAACCTGAAGCACCACTTTAGCTAATGGGGCCTCCCGCTGCCGCCGGAGCACGATCTCTGTTCTCATCCTGAAGCAAAGTTCTTAACCGCAGGTACTATTTCTGGGTTAGCGGAGTCTGTAACCTGAAGCGTATGTAACCTAAAGCGTATGTAACCCGAGGTACCACTGTAATAATAATAATTATGGTGTTCAAATGCTCTCCCTCCCCATGCTGTCTCTGCAGAACCTAAAGGGTCTGGTGGTGGAGGTGGCTTCACGAGCAGCAGCAGCAGTGGTGGTGGCAGCGGCGGTGGTGGTGGCGGCAGCTATGGTGGAGGAGGACCACCTGGTTTAGGAGGTCTGTTCCAGGCAGGGATGCCCAAACTCCGATCTGCAAACAGGGATAACGGTAAGCCGAGGAATACATTCAGTGGCACACAGAATATTGCACTTGGCATCCTTGCTTACCCAACGCGAGGAAAGGCCAAATATGAATACAATAAATCCATCCTGGGTGCTTCCTCTGTCTCTCTCTCTCACTTACACACACACACACACACACACACACTGGAACAGCAGAGCTATTGACTGACCGGCTTTCTTGGTGCCAAGCGGACCAGAATGGAGGTTTCATTTGATAATGCCTGCTCAGGAATGAGTGCTGCTTGTTAAATGATGCATAGAACCTTTTCTCACCTGAAATCCAGGCGCTCTTCACTGCTCCCTGAACCCCCTTTTCCACTCGTCCCAGTCTGCCACCTTTTCCCTTCTTCTCTCCCCTTCCCTCCAAATAAGTATGGAAATTGCGTGCAGCATCACTTTCCAGTGGGAACACAGCAGCCAAGTAAACTGCAGAGCACCTGCTGTTTATGCCAAGACCCACAAACAGATCTTCTTTTTCTCCTCGCCTACTCGGTGGTCTGCCTCCCTACCTTGAAAGCTGTATCATAGGCAAATACTTCTTTGTGCCCTCCCTCCTACAGCTCTAGCTTATTTTATTCTTTATCACATTTGCATCTTACCCTTGCTTTGTGCAGCTTGGGGGTTTGGATGTGAGGGCACCTTATTTTAATCTCATAGCAATTCTGGGAAGGTCGATTCGGCTGACTTACTATTATTAATTAAATTGGTATACCACCATATACCCGCAGCTCTCACGGCAGTTCAGAAGATAAAATCACAATAGAAAAACACAAAATACTGTACATAATAAAAACAAAAACAACCCAATAATCCTCCCTCCCCAAAACATTTGGAGTCACCCAGTCCTGGGCGTAGCCAGGATTTTTGTTGGCGGGACAAGATTTTTGTGGGCAGGGGGTGGGGCAGAACTGAGCCATCTGCAACATGATTGGTCAGTTAGTTAAGAGCTGTTATTTATTTACTTAATGGGGGGCAGCTGCCCCTCCCTGCCCCCCCTTGGCTACGCCCATGCACCTAGTACAGGTATAGGCAAACTCCGGCCCCTCCAGATGTTTGGGACTACATTTCCCATCATCCCTGACCACTGGTTCTGTTAGCTAGGGATGATGGGAATTGTAGTCCCAAACATCTGGAGGGCCGGAATTTGCCTATGCCTGACCTAGTAAGTTGCATGACCGAGCAGAGGTTTGAACTCTGCTTCCCTCAGTATTACTTAAGCCACTAGACTGATTGCTTCTCCAGTATAGACTGACTTACATAGATTATGGATAGTATATATTATTGGTAACATGCCATTAACCCATGTCTGTGACAGAAAGGGAGAATGTGTGTTTGGCAATGCTGGCATTAAATACATCCATTTTGTCTCTGTTTGTACGGCTGGTTTATCTAGCGCAGCAATATTTTTATTATATTTATTTAAAACATGGCTATACCACCCATCATGGGGAAAAGAGAGTTTTCCCAGGATGGCTTACAATTAAATTCAAAATGCAAAACGATGCCGGCAAAAATGTACAATAAGTCACCTTGCAGAGCAGAGAGGCTTCCGAAAAGAATGACAGTAAGCATTCTGCACTGTGAGATAAAGTTTCCTTGATTCATGGTTGCATTCATGGGTCAGAGAACAAGCTGGAGTGGCTGAGGCAGGTCAGATTTGTACTTTCCTGATTGCAGGCGTCTCCCATAAGGCTTGGATGTAGCGGTGCTGGTTAAAAGTGCATGAGGAGGTCTTTCAGCCTGTGTTTGATACAACACAGTCTTTCAGAGCTGGTATTATCTGTTGTGTCACAGGCTATTTATGGCTCTCCTCTTAATCTCACGGCACTTAACGAGCCCGAGTTTTTCTGTGAGACTGCCTCTTCTAGACAAATGCAAGTAACCGGACAGCAGAGAAATTCCTTCTGCCAGCCCAAATATACGTAAATTGCATTGAGCCAGAGCTGTTTTTGCAGGGCTGTCGGTCAAGTAGGGAATATACCATCGAGGATCCATTGCTTCCCGAACAGCATGAAGAAAATGGAGCATGCTTTGCATACGCGCTGACAGCGGTCATCCTCTGTTGGATTTTTTATTTTTTGAAGAGATCTGTAGCCTTCCCTGGATGCTACCATTCACGTTGCAGTAAACGTTTGCATATATCGGCGGCTATACATAGGGGGCTCAAAATCCATCCTTTTCCGTGTGGTTTCGGTTCTGTATGACAAACTGATTTCTTTCCATTCTCAGATTCTCCAGGAAGCAGGGCTCCAGTGTTCCCACCGGGAGGAAAAGCAACGTCTGCAAAGCCCTTTTCACTCCCGGGTGGTGCAGGGCGGTTTGCAGGCCCTTCTCCCGGGCAAAGAACTGCCGTTCCAGAGCCACAGAGGAGCCGAATGCCTCCACCGAGACCTGACCCTGGTTCCAGGGCTGATATGGGCGCTCCTCCCGTGCCAAATACTCCAAGACCTGTCCCATCAACGCTGTACAACCGAGGACCCCCTCCTGTGCCCGGAGCCAGCAGGCAAGTCAGCTTAGGCCTCACACCTCCGCCTTTCCCCGGAAATCGATTCGGAGGGTCCCTCCGCCAGTCATCGCAAGGGGGTCATCCTCCTCCTTTCGCAAACAGGCCTCCTCTTCCTCCGGCCCCAGGCAGGCCCACAGAAGACAAGCCTCCGCCTCCTCCACCCCCAGCAGGAAGCAGGCCACCTCTCAACCGGGAAGCTTCCTTGCCCCCGCCTCCTCCACCTCAAAACAACAGGCCTCCAGTTCCTTCCACGCCTCGGCCATCCTTTGGCTCTCCGGTCCCTCCTCCACCACCTCCAAGCAGGCCAGGCCCGCCTCTGGTTCCACCGACGTCTGGCGGAAATGATGAGATGCCGCGGCTTCCTCAGAGGAATATATCGCTAGCGTGTCCTTCTCCGCCGAGCCTGCCTGGCTCTTGTCGCTCTGGACCTCTCCCTCCACCACCAGGAGAGAGGCCGCCACCTCCCGTCAGAGACCCGCCCAGCAGATCAGGTGAGGCTCCCTGTGTTCTTCCAGCAACGACACAAATGCCATAATACATACAGTCATACCTCATGTTACGTTCTTTCAGGATACGTCCTGCGGCGACCCGGAAGTACCGGAAAGGGTTACTTCTGGGTTCGCCGCTCGCACATGCGCAGACGCGCAAAATGATGCCACGTGCATGCGCAGAAGTGGCGAATCGCAACCAGCGCATGCACAGACATGGGTTGGGTTCTTTTCATGTTGCAAATGGGCCTCCGGAACGGATCCCGTTCACAACCAGAGGTGCCACTTTCATGCAAACATTGGGGTGAAGTGAGAGGGGGACATAATAGCAGTGTATAAAATTTAGCACGGCGGTGTGTGAAATTTTGTGTGTTGTGTAGCTAGAGAATTTTCCATGGATCTTCCAAATTGCTGTTAAGATACCCTTTGCTTCAAAGAGAGAAGTTAGAAAGCTAATACAGAAAGACAGCAAATACCCTCCTCTCTGCTTACAGATAAATGGCCTCTTGTTCCTTCTGTGTAGGATGTTCTCGAGTATGTCTCTGGTATGTTCTATGGTGTGAGTCATACCTTTCAGAATAAGAAAGGGCAATGGGCCCCTGTTTCGAAATGAGAGTCTCCACCCCCATTGTTCAGCCCAGACACTGAGGTCCAGCTCCGAGGGCCTTCTGGCAGTTCCCTCACTGCAAGAAGTGAGGTCACAGGGAACCAGGCAGAGGGCCTTTTCGGGAATGGCACCCGCCCTGTGGAACACCCTCCCATCCGATGTCAAGGAAATAAACAACTATCTGACTTTTAGAAGACATCTGAAGGCAGCCCTGTTTAGGGAAGTTTTTAATGTTTGATGTTTTTTCACATTTTTAATGTTCTGTTGGGAGCCGCCCAGAGTGGCTGGAGAAACCCAGCCAGATGGGCTGGGTATGAATTATTACAGTGGTACCTAGGGTTAAGAACTTAATTCGTTCCGGAGGTCTGTTCTTAACCTGAAACTGTTCTTAACCTGAAGCACCACTTTAGCTAATGGGGCCTCCTGCTGCCGCTGCGCCGCCCTTGCACGATTTCTGTTCTCATCCTGAAGCAAAGTTCTTAACCCAAGGTAATATTTCTGGGTTAGCGGAGTCTGTAACCTGAAGCGTATGTAACCTGAAGCATATGTAACCCGAGGTACCACTGTATTATTATTATTATTATTATTATTATTATTATTATTATTCCTTTGTTCTTTCATATCCAGGACCCCTTCCTCCACCTCCGCCACCAATAAGCAGAAACGGTAGCACTTCACGGGCTTTGCCAGCTACCCCACAGCTTCCTTCCAGAGTCGGGCTTGATAAACACAGAGGCGGACCACTTCCTCCTCCACTTCCTCCTGACAGGCCTGCTTCTGGAGCGCCTCCCCCACCACCGCCACCTTCGTCCGCCATGCGAAATGGTTTCCAGGATTCTTCATGCGATGGTGTGTGTTAAGTTGTGGGTGAACATATCAGACGACACAGTGATTCTTCAAACAGCTCTTGTTTATTCAGAGGCAGAACAGAACTGAACTGAAGGGTTCAGTCAGCCTGCTTATATAGAGCTCCAGTACACGTAACTGTAACACTTTTGCTAAAACTATCCAATCACTGGACGTCACTTTCGATCGCTTATTTGCATAACTAGCTACAGTATCCCCCTGCTGGCCCAGGGTGAGAACTTCAGTACATAACAGTGTGTGTGGCAATCACCCTGCAATCCCAATGCGCAGAGCGGGATTGCGTGCGCCCAGCGACTTCCGTGAATTAAGCAGAACATCTGCAAGAATCCTTGCGTGTACAGTTGCTCGTGGGGAGGGTTTTTCTCTCCGTCTGGGTGGAACCCAGGGTTTCCTTCAGAGAGGGAAGAGACTCCATCCAGTCACGTGGGAGACAGCTCTCCACTGCTGTACATGGAAGAATTTGCAATTTTGCTCTTCTGCCCTCTTGATATGCTCTTTTGCAGTGTTTTTTTTGTGTGTGAGTAAAAGAGGTGCCGGCACTCACCATGAAGTTGTTAACAGCAAGTGCCACACTTTTAACATTTGGTGGAATACGGTGCCAGTATCCCTAGAAAACAATAACTTCTTCCAACACCTACATGTCTGGTTATTTTCAAAAACTTAGAAAAAGTGGAGTTACCCAATTTATCAGGAATTAACTGCATAAACACTGTAATATTGTGGGCATGGGCGTAGGCAGGGGGGAGAGGGGAGCAGTTTCCCCCCTAAATCCTCAAAAAGCATTAAAAATACTTAAGAAACTGAGGTTCTGCCCCCCATATCCTCTCTTTGGGAGGATTTTTACATTTTTAAAACTATTATTATTATTATTAGTAGTAGTAGTAGTAGTATTATATTTTGGCAAAGTAATAATCATACATAAATAAGAATAAAAATTTGCATCCCACCACCAAGTGCATTCCATTGTAACTATACAACCTCCCAAGATTTTTACATGTTAAAGGAAGTGTCCGTGATCTCCCAAAAACAAGCTTAGCAACTTTTTGAGACCTTCTTTCAGGGGGTGGGGTGGGTGGGGAGCTCAACGACTGTTTAATGCTTCAGTGCAAACGTTTTATAATTTGCTACCAAAATTGAGGTAGTCCTTAATTGTTTTTTTCCTCAGGCTACAAATTCTTAAAATGGAGCAAACCTGTTCCTGTGCCAGTTAAAAAAATCATAGACCATTTGTAATGCTTTTTTTACTCAAGTACCTACCTTTTGAAGAGGACTTCGTTAACCGCAAGGATTTTAAGAAGCCCTTCCCACACACTTGCGGGTGGTGACATTTTGATAACACTGACACTGCAAGAATGTTGTTTGGGTCCCAGGTATTGTAGAATGATACTAGGGGTGTGCACCCGATTCGGATGAATCCTGAGGTCAAGTGGGATGTCTTGGACAGATTTTTGGCTTGTCAGAAGTGAAGCGGGATTTGTATGAGTTAGCACAAATCGAATCGGAGGCCCCTGGAAAACTCCCGTCTTTTAGTTGGGTGGGGTAGAATGCGTGTGCCCTTTTTGCGTTAATGCAGATGAGCACTTTTAGTTAGTAGTGCTTTTTTCCCTATCTTTTTGGTGTTGTACTATTATTATTTACCGATTAAATTTGTATACCGCCCTATACCCACAGGCTTCAGAGCAGTTCACAGGATAAAATAACAATATAAAAACACAAAATACATAATTAAAACAAAAACAACCCAACAACCGCCCCCCCAGCACATTTCAAAGGGGCATTGGGTGACAATCAACCAAAGGTCTTCTTAAAGAGGGGTGTTTTCGCCTAGCAACCAAAAAATGTATATTGAAGGCAACAGGCAAACCTCCCTGTGGAGAGCATTGCACAAATGGGGAGCCACTGCAGAAAAGGCCTGTATCCTTCAGGGCAACTGCACTGGGATGAGATTTGGAGGCCTTCTTTACAGTGGCTCTGGTCCAAAATGTGGTGATTGTGGTGGACTCAGGTTCAATGCTTGGCTGTTGGCCTGTAGTGTCCCTCAAGGTTCCATCCTGTCCCTCCCCACCCCACCCCACTCTTTTAAGAAAGGTGGTCCTGAATTTTAGGGTTCAGTGACACCAGTATGTGTATGACACCCAGCTCCCTCTCTCCTTTCCATCTAAATCTGAGGAAGCTTTCTCAGTGCTATTTCAGTGTCTGGTGTCAGTAGCAGACTGGATGAAATTAAAACTTAATCCTGGCAAAACAGAAGTGTGTTCCTGGTCAGTCAAAAGGCGCAGGTCAGGAAATAGAGATTCAACCCCGTGGTGGTTGGGATTGCACTCCCCTGAAAACACAGGTGCGCAGCTAAGGTGTGCTGGATTCAACCCTGAGCCTCGATGCCCAGGTTTCGGCGGTTGCCTATGTATAATATGACATTGCAGAAAGTTCTACAAAGCCTGTTCTTGTTGTGTTTTCTCCAGATGAGTGGGAGAGCAGATTTTCCTTCCATCCTATGTCTGACCTGCCACCTCCAGAGCCGTATGTGCCAATGAACAAAAGCTACCCCAGTAAACTAGCAAGGAATGACAACAGAAGTAAGTATTCTTTCACGAGGTGCTTGGTAGCAGCAGAGCATTTGGGGAGCGATTACAGAGGTTATATAAAAAGGGCTTTGAGCACTCAGAAATCACTACGTATGTGTGAAAGATTGTTCATGTTATTAAATGACACACCTAAATTGCACAAGTGACCATGTGGGGTACTCCTAGACCCTGTATTTAATGGCCTTGGACTGTATTTAGTTGTGTCGTTCCACTCATGGAAGGCTCTCTGATCTAGAAGAGGTTTCTATGAACAGAAGGGAAAAGGCGGCAACTTTAGTTAGTTTTCCCTCTGAAAACATCTCCCTTTCCCAAATCTGTACTAGCTTGCAGTGGTGAGAGGAGGCCTTAAACATGAGTCCCAGTTTGGATAATGTTGTTGTTGTTTAGTCGTTTAGTCGTGTCCGACTCTTCGTGACCCCATAGACCAGAGCCCGCCAGGCACTCCTGTCTTCCACTGCCTCCCGCAGTTTGGTCAAACTCATGCTGGTAGCTTCGAGAACACTGTCCAACCATCTCGTCCTTGGTCGTCCCCTTCTCCTTGTGCCCTCCATCTTTCCCAACATCAGGGTCTTTTCCAGGGAGATTTCTCTTCTCATGAGGTGGCCAAAGTATTGGAACCTCAGCTTCAGGATCTGTCCTTCCAGTGAGCACTCAGGGCTGATTTCCTTCAGCGTGGATAGGTTTGATCTTCTCGCAGTCCATGGGACTCTCAAGAGTCTCCTCCAGCACCATAATTCAAAAGCATCAATTCTTTGGCAATCAGCCTTCTTTATGGTCCAGCTCTCACTTCCATACATCACCACTGGAAAAACCATAGCTTTAACTATACGGACCTTTGTTGGCAAGGTGATGTCTCTGCCATGGTTTATCTTAGCATGGTAGCAAAAAGGACTGGGGAGGGCCAAAATGGCTGTGAGCTCCTCCTCTCCAGTCCACCAGTTTGCATGGTCTTGCTAAGCCTTGTGGCTTACCATGTGCAGTTTACATTTTTCATTAAAATTAGGTTGGAGTAGATACAGTGGACGCTTGGGTTGCAAACGTGATCTGTGTGGGATGCACGTTCACTACCCGCAGCGTTCACAACCCGCAGCTGCGCGTCTGCACATGCTGCGATTCGGCACTTCTGTGCAAAACGCGATTTAGCGCTTCTGCGCATGCGCACCTGCCGAAACCTGGAAGTAACCCATTCCGGTACTTCCAGGTTTCGGCGGTCCGTAACCAAAAAAACGCAACCTGAAGCGTCTGTAACCCCAGGTATGACTGTAGTGGATTTTCTTAGACTTGAAAACAGTACCAAAAATAAATAAATATTGTTTCCTCATTCATGCAGGTGTTCTCTCTTTTTTGCTTTTTTTTCCTTTTTGCAAGTTTTTGCAGTGCTTGAAAACCCTTCAAAACCCACCTGACCAGCAATGTGTCTTTTAAAAATGAATGCCCGCATCTTTGGGCAATGATACGGGTGCCATACTATTATCAGTTTGAAATAAACAACTCCCCCCGCCCCACCGTGTATATATGAACAATGTTGTAGGCTAGCTAGCCACACGTTTGTAACAGCTACATGTAATTACGACATAAAATATTTTGTATTGTTCATATCCATCCATCCAATACTAGTTCAATGAATAACAGAAGAGTTTTTTAAAAATTGAACGGGGATGTTTTAACTGAATATCTTGAGCATAAGCTTCAGTGAATAAAAAAATAAGGTGAAATCTCTTTTCTTTTGCCTTTTAGGTGGATCCAGTCGTAGAGAAAGAGGTGCTCCGCCACTTCCACCTATTCCAAGGTGAAGTGGGGCTGTTGACCTCTTTGGGGATGTGACTGCTTTTCTGAAATTTCCCTTGAACCCAGCAGTCTTGTCAAAAGGTTTCCTTTCATGCCGCACTTTTTTGGAGGGGCTGGGGAATCCCACTCTTGGTATCATTTTCAGATCAAGCCGTCAGAATCCTGCTCAGGTTATTCCTGCCGATTTCCACCTTGGTTCTACAAATCAAAGATTTTGTGAACTGTAATCCAAATCCCCATTTATGGGGAATTTTAAGTTACTTTGAAATTAATGGGGACTTGGTTCCAATAAGGTGCTTAATATTGGGGGAGCAGTATATTATTATTACTATTGTTACCTTGAAAACTGTCTTGCAAGGCAAGTGGGGACTGTATGGATCACATTTTGGAGCCCAGTCCAAGTCTTGCCAGTACCATCAAAAAGAGCCAAGACTTTCAGCTTGTCTTGTAGTGCGGGACAATAACATTTTACAAAATTCAAGTCTCTGTTACATTAACCTGAAACATAGCTTCCTTGACAACCTTCTGTATTTCTTTCCATGATAAAGATGATTCGTAGCACTTCTCTCCCCCCCCCAATTGCAGTCTTGTCTGAGATTACTGATCAAATTGATCAAATTAGTTTGACGATTAGAGGTAGGGGGAAAGAACTACACGGCACAACTTTTAATACATTCCATCTCTGGAAAGAGTTGGGATTCATTGTATGTGACATTCTTACTCTCTCTCAGGCAATCTGCGAAAACTTTAATGAATTGTAGCCCTTCAGAGACCAAAAGAATGTTGCACTGTGTTTGCCAAAGCATTGGTAGCAACTTTTAACAAATCCACCGAAAATGCCTATGTCACAATTCAGGGCAGTACATGCACGGAAGCAGGCTTCCAGGCATGTAAATCTAGCTGGAGGGAGGGAGGTGTCTACAACCAAATACTGTGTACACAGATCCTCCCTCCTGTCCCAGAGGCAGGGACCGTTTGCTCAGACATCTCCATTTTCTTTATTAAAAAAACAAACAAATAGCTAAGATCTTGCAGGTGGACTTTTCAGCATTGGAAACTGGGGTGTCTTCTAGCCAAACAGCTGGATTGGTGGAGTTTCATATTTTGGAAGAAGAAGAAAAAAGAATTTGGGGCTTGCGGGTGCTACAAAACAACAAGATTCAAGATGTCATTGTCATCTTGGAAGTTAAGTTCTTCTTTTGCTAACAGTCATGCTGTTGGGCTTTTCCTCTGGGGTGAGTTTTACCCCATGGTTTCTGAATTGGTGGTTCTGCAAAACAAATCGTTGTAAAGCTCTCTCCTTTGAACTATGCAAGGCAAATATTCAAAGTTAGTGTATATAAGCAACAATAGATGCTAATAAGACTCTTTCTGTGGCTTTCTGCTAACACCTCTGCCCTGAGCTTCCATTTCTTTCATGGTACCATTGAAACTGTTCTTAGCTATGAAAATATTTTTTTTATTTTGGCTCCTGTGTGCTGAAGACACTCCCCTCTCCTTTGATGTGGCAGCTGTTAATCAAGCATCCAGCTGCAAGCAGGAAGTGTCAGCAAGAGACATTTGGTTGACCTGTTACAAGCTCTTTCCTTTCCACGAGGTGCAAAACAGCTGGACAGCATTTTAAAGTTACGGCTTTGTTGCAAAATTTCATTACTTTTCGCAGGAATTTTCTTGTCATTCTGACAGTTGATAAGTGCATTTACTCTTTCACAACCGATTCACCTTTACACACATGAGAGAAATGTGGTCCTTAATTGGAACATGATTGAGAATGGAATGACTATTTATGGAAGCTCTGAAGATGGCTCTCTTGTACACATTACTATGCAAATTGGAGACAAAGGGATGACTTTCCTGGTGATGTCATGAAGGAAAAAGTGGGAAGATGGAAGATGTGTATTATAGTATAATAATATCCAAAGTTAAGTTGTGGTGGGACAGTTGGAGCAAGATTTCCTTAGAGATGCACATGAAAAGTATACTTAGATCTTTGGGGAAGCTTTGAAAAGGAACTCAGAAATATTCACAATGGTGCAGCCAAGGTTGCACTTTGCTTTAGACCAGAGGTTCCCAAACTGTGGTGGTCCATGAGCTTCATTCAGGTGGTCTGTGGCATGTCTGTGAAGAACACTTACAATTTGAATTTAATGGAATTCAGATGGTAATAATAGTAAAGTACAATATAAGAAAACAAGCCATAAAAATACAACTAAAGCTCACACTGCAATTGTAATTGCTCGTTACAATTGCTACAACAGGCAAATAATAATCATCAAGAGGTCTGCCAAGACCCATAGCACTTATCAAGTGATCTGTGGGAAGAAAGTTAGGAAGCCACTACTTTAGACTATGTGCATTCCCGTTGATGATAAATAAAGCAGGCTGGAGCTTTAGGATGGAAAAACACTGCTTTGCATTTACAATCTGTGTGTACAGAAATATGTATGTAAAAGCTTTTTTATGACTCTTTTTCATTAAAAGGAAAAAAAAGTTACTGCGTAGCTTTAGGTTTTATGTTGAGGTGCATTCCACGAGCCCCTCTTGTGATGGAATCCTTGCAGTTGAATATATTCAGGGACCCAAAGATTCCACCCACACAGGTCTCGTTGCAAAATTGGAAAGACCTTTTTTCAGCCATAAGCACAGCAACGTCTTGCAATACCTTTTGGGATCAAGCATACAATAATAATGGATTTTTCAGCAGACTCTTTTCCTATTCACTTAACAATCCTTTACATATATGCAGTATTAATTAACAGTTCCAGTTTCAGCTCAATTAGTATTGTGTGTGTGTATTATTATTTTTTAAAAGCAGGATGTAAAATGTTAAATTATTACATTTTTGTTCCTGGAATGGAACACTTCAGCCTTCTGAAGAACAAATGAAGTACAAAGTTTTACAGTGGGGATTTAAAAAAAATAATTGTACATTTTGTGTAAGCTGATTTAAGAGCAAATTCCCTCTTTGAATATGTTGATTAAAGATGGCAGAGAGAAATTGACGACAGTGCTTTCAACTGATCGCTCAAGTTAGAAATTTGGTTATGCAATAGAGTGGAGATGGTTGCATTATCTACTCCTTGTTGCTGCCAATGGATTATTCATTGAGTGAGTGAAGTTCTGGAGCTGTGTTCTTCAGCTAGTCAGTCTGGATCTTTGCAGTGAAAAAGCATGACAGCAAGGAACAGCCATGTAATGAAAAGCAAAGGTGTCAAGAGGGCAGACAAAAGAAGGAATAAGCATGCAGCGGTTAAAACCTGGTGATTTCACAAGCAACGTCCACTCAGAAACTCTCAGGATTATGGTATTTAGAAACTCTGTGATGTGATTTCATTTGATCCTGCCAATTGTCTGTACCATTGGCAAATTAATTCCCGTGCAATATTATCTGAAATTCTAACCAAAGCCTTGGCATTTAGAATGCAACGTGGCCTTTTAGAGAGAGAAGCAAAACCTGGAGCTTCCGTCTTCCTCAGAGGATAACATTTTAGCACTTTCTCTCCAATAGGAATCTTCCTTGGTGTGTGTATATGTTAAGTATTGTCAGGAAATACTTAAAAGGAAAAACAATAATAGGGCTTGTTTGGTGTAAAGCATATTTCTTTTTCTTTCACCAGATACATTGATAGAAGCAGCATTTTCAAGTCTAGCATATCATTTTATTATCGGTATTTTAGATTAAATATTTATTTGACTATGTACAATGATCAAACAGCAGAAAGCAAAAGATTCTTCCCAGTGGTGCCTTACTGTTACTAAAAAGCCACTTTTAAAATATCCAAATGGCTGCTGTCTTTTTTAAAACAACAACAAAAATTAGATCATGTTCCCACAGCCCCCAGAATTTCAAATATAAAATTGTACTTTGTATATGGTGTAGTGTTTAAGCCCCATCTCTTTTCCCATTGGTTGTCTTAACATCTAACCCTGAAGCCCACTGTATAGAAATATTTTGGATTTCAGTAAGACTTGTTAAAATACTCTTTTTGGTATGTATATTCAGGCAAGTTACATAGATCAATACAATTTCCAAATGAATGAGTTTAAGACCGAGATCTTAAAATGAGCAAAAGTTTTAAACCCTACAGATGTTTTTACCCCTATTTTTACCCGTTTTTACAGATGTTTAAACCCTACAGATGATTTGATTCATCAAATGGATCGTGAACTTACAGAGCAAGTTCCATTATATAATACAGAGCTTTCTAAACGTTCCCCATGCTCCTCCCGGGACTGGAAAGGGGTTCTTTACTTTAACCTCTTGTTTACTAGTAAAACTGAATTACTGTGTCATGATGCATGCCTAAAAAATGTTGTCACCAACATGGAAAGTTTGGAAACCTCTGATATAATACATACTCACCACTTTTTTATATATATGAGATTGCACAGGTGTATTAGAGTAAAACAATGCCCATAATGTAAATAAGATTTTTTTCTATTTGACTTTGCTTTGTGTTATTAACATGCATATCTTAAAATATGTTATCACTGTGACTCAAATTGTGAGAAACCAGGTAACAAATAAACTTGTGTCTGTCCAAAGCAAAAATAAAAATAAAATTGGAGCAACTGTTTTGTCAGATGGAACTGTATTTGTTGTGTGTGTGTGTGTGTGTGTGTGTGTGTGTGTGTGTTTAGGATACAGTCTATGTGATCTGATGACTCTTCTTTATTGGAATCATTTTACACTGATCCTGCAAAGGTGCAATCTCAAAAAAATATTAGCCGTGTCCAAATACTATTTTCAATGGGGTCTTAAATATGCTGAACTTCCTCGATTGCACCTCGGCACTAAAGTGAATGACAAAACTGTTGTTGCCTGTTGTATAGTAGCCAGCCATGTGGATTGTAATTACGGTAAGCATGTAGGCTGGCCCACTCACATCCTGTATATCACGGATCCCTGTAGATACATGTAGATGAATACTACAATTCCCATCAGCTCCTGTGGAGGGATTTCTTCTGTATTATGAATAATAGTGTTTTTTTAACTAAAAGGGTGGTTAGATCATACACAGAGTTTAAAGATGAATATGAGGGTTCCCCCCATGAGCAACTTGACGTGTCTCTTTACTTGGGTGAATAAATTTGTAAGTTGACAGCTCAGCACTAGAGGGCACTTTTTATCCAAACCAGTACATGAAAATCGCCAACTTGCCTATATATAAACCTGCAGGATAGAGATCCAGGACGGTTTGGATATTGAGCTGTCAACGCCAAATGGATCCATCCATGGTTAAAAATACAATAAATTAAATTTACTGGATGATTTAAATTAAATCTAGATTTAATTTAACTAAATCTTAGGAGACTGCCTTATTCTACCCAAACGCAGGTATTCAATTGCAGAAACCACCGGCCTTCTCCATATGTAATGCCCCGTTCAGTCTCTTCCTCTCAATTTTTCTGCCCAGTGCCTTATTTAAGTAGCTTATCTCTGTTAATGTCACACCAATAGCAGCCTTCCTAATACCTATCAGTATTAGGTATCACCTAATACCTAATACCTATTAGCGTCTTGCTTTTTTAAACAAACAACAACCTGGTTGTGCTTTGCATAATGCATTTCACAGAAAGTCATTTGCCTACAGATAGATTATCATGCAGGCTATGGTACGCAGGGCAAATGAGGGCCAGAGTCGGATCTGGAGAACTGGGGGATTTTCCTCACCTCTCACTCCGCCACACAAGGGCTGCCACGTTGGATCTGCAGAGGACAGAGATTGGTAAGCAAGGGGTCAGAAGGCCCCCAAGCCAGTTTCTTAACTAGTAGCAGCAATCTGGCTGTTGGGAGAGGGATGTTCTCTGTCCATCTCCCTTCCATCCATAATGGGATGCTGTGGTGGGCAGATGCTGCCACTTCCTTCATCCTGTGTGCTTCTGCCTATAAAGCGCTTTCTTCGTTTCTAAATGCTAGAGAGCTAATATCCTAGTGGTTTAGCAGAAGAATGAATTCTTAAAAGGGCATCCCAAATAAAAATAATAAAAGTGTTTTTTTTCTGGAGTACCTCCAGAAAAAAGCATTGAAAATAGGTGTAAAGATTTAAGACACTCATGGCCCATAAATTTAGGGGTTTCTAGTGAACACAGGCTATTGGCTCATTTAATCTAAGGCTGTGATTCCCACAAGGGGGCAATTTGATTTTTAAGAGGGGCAGTTCGAGAATAAGTTATTAACAGTGAAGGGCCTTTTAGGCATCCTCCACGTGAATAGTTAACTTTTTGAATATTAATAATTATATGTTGGGGTGGGGGAGGTATCAGGATTTTAGAGATGCTTAGCTGGGGCATGGCCCCCAAAAAGGTTGGGAACCACTGATCTAAGGTTTCTGGGAATCCAGTCGTTGACCCCTCACAAAGTTACAATTCCCAGAGAACTTAAACTACAGTTCCCATGATCCTTTCTGAGTGGGGGAGGGGGAAGCCATGTGCTTTTATTTACTCATTATATTTTTAAGCCTTTTTTCTTCGAAGGAGCTCGGGGTGGCTGGATGCTTCTCCTCCTTCCCCACCATTCCGACAAGCCTGTGCTGCCGCGAGGTTGCGGGCGTTACCCAAGAAGCGGGTTACCTAAAGAAAACGGGACTTTTCCCCCCCTCAGAGACAAGCGCGTGCAGCCCAAGGCGGCTCCTTCCGTAGAAAAAAAAAACCTTCAATTTGCCAAGTAAACCAGAGAGCTCTTGTGAAAAGACGCCAAGTGCCCTGGAGGCGAGCGAGCGGCTGCTGCGCGGCGCGAATCTCCAAGGCCTCTGGTTTGCTTTTTACTGCAGCAGCAGCACAACAAAAAACACAGCAGCTGCTGCTACCTCGGCTGCTGCCGCCGCCGCCATCTTAAAAACAGCCTTTTGCGGCGGGGCGGGTTTTGGCGGGCAGGCCCGCCTCTGCGCTGAGCTCACGCGCCGCCGGCTCCGTCCCACGCGCGCTGCTCCCGGGCGCCCAGGCGATAACGGCGCCGTGGGCCGGAGATGCCCGCCTTGCTTTGCCTGCCGTTGCTGCTGCAGCCGCCGTAGGGCGAGGGCAGGTAAACGAGCGAAAGGGGACCCCCTTCCTTCCTTCTCCTTCCATAACCCCCGCGCCTTGACTCCGCTCCCAAACAGCAGCGAGGAGACGCCGCTCGCCACACGCCGCGCCAGGTTCACCTTGGACGGCAGCCACTACTACGAGGGCAATGGGAGACTGAGAGAGCTGGGGGAGGGGAGGCTGGAAGCAGAGCCCCCTGCGAACACTTAGGACCTTATTATTATTATTATTATTATTATTATTATTATTATTATTATTATTATTATTATTATTATTATTATTATTATTATTATTATTATTATCCAACGGGGCCGCCCCAAAGTGAAGCCACCCCAAAAGGGCCAGCGCGCAAAGACTTGGGACTGTATGACTTTGCATTTGCCAGGTGACTTTGCATTTTCGGCGTTTCTGGGACGTGTCTGTGTGCACGGCTTTTATTGAGGTCGGTGCAGTTGTGGGGCGACTCCGGCCCTCTGGTTCAGGTTGCCATGTGGTTGCGTGCGTGTGTTGCGTCTGCGTTTAGGGGTCTCCCCTTCGGGTTCGTCCGCCGGCGCGCGAGGGCCGCCGCGTCTGGCTCAAACTCTCCACCAGCAAATCGCCTTCTCTGGTAAACAGGATCCCATTGGCTGCGGCGCGTCTTTCGGGGTGGGTGCAAGGCGTTTGCCGTGGGCGGATTGGCGGCGACCCTTTCCCTTTAAATCAAGTAATCGCAGCCCGGCAGCGGTTTGCATCTCGGCCCGGCCTTTCGCGCGTTGCAAACCGGATAAGCCAAGTAGTGGGCGGTGGGGGACAATTTACAAGGCATTTGTGTGGTTTCTCTTTAAATCGCCCTATCTGCGCTTGAAACCAACCGAAGAGGTGTTTCTTTTCTTCTTCTTTTTTGCAAGAAGAGAACAGCTGGGTACATATCTGGTTCCATAAGGTGATGGTGAATATCGGTTCCCCCTTTTACAGATAAGGGGAAACATGAGTTTTCTTAAAGTCGACAGAAAGTTAGGTGCATCCTGTTCCTATTTAAATCAGCAGATTATTTTTTTGGTGGGTTGAGTAGGTATTTTTTCACCACTTTGGGGGTGTAATTGCAGCATTTAGTCATAACGGGGGTTAACGTGCAGTAAAATATTTTGTTATGTTCTTCTTCCAAACTGCAACTGCAGTTGCAATTACTTGGTCTTAGGGTAGTGTCTTAGACTTTAAAATGTTTGACTGGTTTTGATGCTACATAAACCATATATAACAATATACCACCTTGGCAAGCATTCCTTCCTATATATGAGGCAATATGCTTGAAGTGGTGCATGTGTGCCTCATCTGAAAAATGAAGCAAGCATATTTTTCTTTAGAACCCTCCTTTGTTTGCATATCTGGATTTAATTGGGCAGCCAATTAAAGTTCATATAACCAATCAACCATTCTTTCTTAACTAGGCAGCAGCCCTACAAATAATATTGATAGCATTGTGATATTATACTTAAGATATTTAGGTGGTGTTTGTTTTATTTATTTATTAATGTGGCATGATTTCAGTGAGACTTGCATGCTTGATCATAAATAGGGCTGTTTGTGAATATCACAGCATACCACCATCTGGTCCATTGGCACTGTTTGGATACAGTGTATAGAACTGGCAAATCTTTTGGGATGGTTGTTTTTGTCAGCCCAGTTCAGTTCAGCCTATTTTCTCAAGTGGCAAAGTAGAAATAGGAATTTAACCATTATCTTTACTGGAATTGAATCATTATGTTTATTTGGGGGCAGAGGCACTGAGGCGGTTGGCTGGCTTAGAATATGGATCACCTTGTGTTTTGCATTTGACTGGCCAAAAATATTTGTCCTGTTGATTGGTCCACTATTGTTAAAGCACTACCGTTAACGAAAATAGCAATAAAAATAATCGTCAAAAGGTTTGGTATTTATATTAACTACTGTTAGCTGCTGTTGTGAACCTTTTTTATATTAAAAAACTGTAATTCAGTCCCATCCATTATTATTATTATATCATCATCATCCTTATGCCTTGGTTTGTAAAGCAGAATAGTCTATGAGAGTGTGACTGATCGAACACTCTGGTTTTTTTATGGCCAATTGAGGATATGAATTTGGTCGTAGTCTGACCAACTTGGTCTTTTGGCACTGATGACTTACTGCGGTCCTATTTTTGCTGTGGTCTAAACCACAGAGCCTAGGGCTTCCCTATCAGAAGGTCTGTGGTTCAAATCCCCGTGACAGGGTGAGCTCCTATTGTTTGGTCCCAGCTCCGGCCCACCTAGCAGTTCAAAAGCACGTCAAAGTGCAAGTAGATAAATAGGTACCACTGCAGCGGGAAGGTAAATGGTATTCCCGTGCGCTGCTCTGGCTCGCCAGAAGCGACTTAGTCATGATGGCCACATGACCCGGAAGCTGTCTGCGGACAAATGCCGGCTCCCTCGGCCTATAGAGCGAGATGAGCGTGTAACTCCAGATTCATCCGCGACTGGACCTAACGGTCAGGGGTACCTTTACCTTACTGTTATAGCAGGTAACCGGGGTGGGGTGGGATGAAGTTACGTTATGATGTGCTCTTAGGTTTGCTCCCTGACTGCTGTTGGGCGAAGGTTAAAAAAGACGACACCACAATGAAATAAAAAAGATAGGCAGTAGCATTCTTGGTATACTGTATTTGACCTTGGTGGCCAGCAGTCACTTGGACAAAACATGACTCTGAGAGGCTTGCCCCACATTTACTAACCATGGAGGAAAGAAGATTCAGTAGGAGAATTTGGCAGCAGTCTACTTCCACACCTGTCCTTTGGCAAGACTTAAGTGACGACTGGAACCTTAGATTCATAAGGGCATGATGAATGAATGAAAATGGACAGGTCAGACCTTTGCTTTGTCAACAGAATTAGTAAGGAAACCTGATGTTTACTCAGGCCTCCTATTTGTTAAAGAGATTAATGTTAACCCTTCACATCTGGGGTGCAAATGTTAGGAGCCTTTCTGAGAACTTCATATGATAATACACAATTTTATGTGAAAGGTGTGACTTCTGTAACATTTTACTGTGCTATTTGTATACAAGCCAGGGGTCTAAAGATGGCTGTTGCCATCTGGGGAGAATAATATTTTTATGATTGTTAGGCTTTGTAGATGTTTTTTATTCTCTTGTTACTTATTTCTTTTAAAAATCTCAGATAAACGTTTTTGTATTGTCATGTGACTTAGGTGCTTTCAGAGAAACAATGATGGGCAAAGAACTGTTAAAGAGTTTTGAATTAATAAAATTTGAGATTGCTTAATTTGAGGGAGGTCCTATGATGACTGCTATTGTGGTCCCCCCCCCCTTTATTAACCATCTCAAACATTAAAATACCTTCACAATAGCACTTTTTATCTGTCTTGTGTCTGGGTATGATTGTTTGATCACCAGATTTAAAATATGAGGTGACTTTGTAGAAGGTTTTGCTTGGTTTACAAGAAGCCTACAATTTATGCCATGGGTAAGTAAACTAAGGCCTGGGGGGCCGGATCCGGCCCAATCACCTTCTAAATTCGGCCCACGGATGGTCCGGGAATCAGCGTATTTTTACATGAGTAGAATGTGTCCTTTTATTTAAAATGCATCTCTGAGTTATTTGTGAGGCATAGGAATTCGTTCATCCCCCCCCCCCAAAAAAATATAGTCCGGTCCCCTACAAGGTCTGAGGGACAGTGGACTGGCCCCCTGCTGAAAAAAAGTCTGCTGACCCCTGATTTATGCCTTTGAAAAATCTCTCTTGAGTAGGGTAACAAAAGGGTAAAATTATGCAGCTAGCTTCCTCCTACAGAGATTTTACTTCAGCTTGGTTGGAAAAAGCTACATTCAATCAGTGTATCTTCCATTAAATAGCAGATAAATTTGTCTACCAAGATTCTTTTGTTGTAGAAACATTGTCCTCTTTGACATTTCGTGCACTTGGCTTACGATAACATTTTAGGGCATGTTGTTTCAGTTTGATATTTGCCCAAAGTTACCCAAATTAAAGCCTAACAGACATCTTAAATGTGAATGAGACAGAAATGATCACCTTTCTGTAACAATCAGCCCCCCCAAAATATATATATTACTATTTGTGAATATGCAAATAAAACCACAGTTTTCTTCACAATGGAAACTAAATACAGACAGACTTTTGGTGCTGTACCTACACAGTTTACACAAGAATCTCTGCTTTGCCCATAATCATGAATCCTTCCAAAGCACAGTTGATCTGCATATTCCTGAGTACAGTCGTACCTTGGAAGTCGAATGGAATTCCATTCCGGAAGTCCATTTGACTTCCAAAATGTTCAGAAACCAAAGCGTGGCTTCTGATTGGCTGAAGGAAGCTCCTGCAGCCAATCGGAAGCCCCGTCGGACGTTCGGCTTCCAAAAATAGTTTTCAAACCAGAACAGTCACTTCCGGGTTTGTGGCGTTTGGCAGCCAAAAAGTTCGAGAACTAAGCTGTTTGAAAACCACGGTACAACTGTATTCACCTATACTGTATAGGGAATACAAACTTAACCAGCTATAACATTTTGGGGTGCAGCCACACCTCTTAAGAGGAATGTTCAAGATTCCAGCCTACAATGCTGACATGGTTTCACCAAAGGGGGACAGCTGCCCCCCAAGATTAAGTAAAACAATAGAAATACAGTGGTACCTCTAGTTACGAACTTAATTCGTTCCAGAGGTCCGTTCTTAACCTGAGGTACCACTTTAGCTAATGGGGCCTCTTGCTGCCGCTGCACCGCTGGCACACAATTTCCATTCTCATCCTGGGGCAAAGTTCTCAACTCGAGGTAACTCTTCCAGGTTAGCGGAGTTTGTAACCTGAGGCGTTTGTAACGTGAGGTACCAGTGTACTTAACTAACTGACCAATCATGTCAATTCTGCCCTCCCCAACAAAAGTCCCGCCCCCTCCCCAACAAAAATCCTGGCTACGCCCATGAATGCTGACCTCAATTTTCAAACATTCCATGGCTCCTAGAATCCACTTGGCAAGCTTGGCCTTTGCTGAGCTGTTTGTTTATTATGTACAACCTTATGTATGTATGCAAGGAGTGCCCTAAATATATAGACACCACTATCTTAATTTAAGCGGGCTGTGTTTTGCCTTCTAACTCATAGGCATTCTACCACCTGAATTAACCATTAGAGGAAATGAGTGGTGACCTGTAAAAACAACAACCAACAACAGCAACAACGGTTGCACGGCATCCTAAGGCACTAAGAAGAACACTCCTGTTCTTGGTGCCATCCAGACCTGTGGGGCTCAAGCAGGCCTCCTCTCTCTCTCCACCCTTTTTATCTTGGAGAGTAATCCTGACCCTCAACATTCTGTGGCTTTTGCTCCTCTGGATCACCAGCATGCCACTGTATAATGAACTGCCCATACAACAGTGACATGGCAGTTAGGCTGAGAGAAGCACAATTTGCCCATCTGCAGCAGCTTATAATTGTTGGCTATTTGCAGTTTAGTAGCGCTGCAGAGAGCTTGCTGGGGAGACCATGCATTAAAAAGGGACTCAAAAATAACTTGAACAAGGTTTTAATAACAAAAACAAAAACTCCTTTTACACTAAAGATAACAGCAAACATGACCTAACCACCAACCCATCCCCCAGGGTAAGGAGAGAGCTAGGTGCTGCTCCTTATATACTATGCCCAAATGCTGACACAGCTTGATTGACACAACCTAGCAGCACCTGCTATGTTTCACAGCTGTAAGACTGGGTCTCGTTATTTGCCCTGGCCCTGGCCCTTAAAGACATACACAACTTGTGAAACAATAATGAACCTTCACATTTTAAAGTGACCATTCAACAATAATAGCAGCTGGCCAGCCAGGTGCATCGTGGGAATGGCAAGTTTCCTGCATTTTCTGTGAGGGAAGATCTTGCCGATTCTGCGACTCCATTGGAACTGGATGACCAGTGCATCTTCTTGTTTGCCCTGGAGGTTCATGTGTGGCTGAACATGTACAATGTTCCCATTATGATGTGATAAATGGTCTTATCTCTACACTGATTGCATGACAAATTATTGTATTATGGTTTCCGTTGCTAATGAAATCCAGAGTCCTTCTCCCTGCACCCACCGATTTTGATTCTTCAATATGGCAAGCTTTAGTGACCTGACATCAAATCTAGAAATGATTGAAATCATAAAACTTGCTGAAATAGTTTGATTATAGGAAAACAGAAGAAAAAATAAACTTCTGAAAATCATGTTTTGGTATTTTAACATAAATAAAATCTAGACAAACATTTTTTTCCTTATGGAGAAGTTGTGTTATCTTGCTTAAGGATAACAGTTCTTTAGATGTGCTATCTTATCTTTTCTTTCAACGGAATAATATTTATTTCAGCTCCCTGTTGGCCTTGTCTCCTACTTCCAGTTCCCTTTTAGGGTTCCTGTTTTTGTTCCATTTTACTGCGATGTGAGGGGCTTTCTCAATCTCACTGCAATACAATAACGAACGCTGCCTTCCTTGTTTTACAGATCAGAATCCACATGCTACGTTTTCAGAAGCGCTGAATGAATATGGATATTTACACGTATGTCAGCACAAAGAATCTCTCTTCTTCAGCCAATATGTCCAATCTGCTTTCAGGCAGATTTGGGTACCAGCTGAACTTTACCAGCAATTCTCCTTCTATGTCAATAAGTAAGCTTTTCCCAGCCTTGTTACAATGCTTTGGCATAATCCTTTGTGGATATATAGCTGGAAGAGTTAACATAATCACATCAACTCAGGCCAAAGGACTCGGAAACTTTGTCTCCTGTTTTGCACTCCCAGCTTTATTGTTCAAAAACATGGTTGTACTGAATTTTTCCAACGTGAATTGGTCCTTTTTATACAGCATCCTTGTTGCCAAAGCATCAGTGTTCTTCTTGGTCTGCATTTTAACACTGTTGATAGCTACTCCTGAGAGGCGGTTTAGCAGAGCTGGACTGTTTCCTATTTTTGCTACTCAGAGCAATGACTTTGCACTGGGCTATCCTATAGGTAAGAAACAAATTTACGTATTTTTTTGTTTGTAATGAGATTGTTTCATAACACTCTGTGCCTTAGGAATGCATAGTGACTTGTTTGCATTGATGATGTACACGGTGCGTGCACTGTTGTTACAGCTGCTAATTTGTGCTTTTGAATTTGAGAAAGAGCACATTCTGTTGCACTGTGAGTCGCATGAAGCAGAACTGATGAAATTATTATTATTATTATTATTACTACTACTACTTATACCCGGCCCATCTGGCTGAGCTACCCCAGCCACTCTACTAAGCAAAGCCATGTACTACCCAAGTAGTTGTTGTTGTCTGTCAGTTTCACTCAGAATTGTTCAGTGAGAAGGCATGTTTTCAGTGTAAGGTGTTCTTGGCAGCACTAGAACTTTTTCATTTCTTTACCACCAAAAATTAATCCAGTTGAATACTTATTTTTCTTGTTCTTGTGTTGATTTTCTGAGGTGAATGGCAATAATGTCCACCAGTAGGTTGACAGACTAAACATTCCCAGTGGGAATGACTAGGAGAACCCCCCTCCATTCATGGAAAGAGTTTGCATTCTCTGGAAGGTTCAGCTAATAGAAAGAGAAGTCGTTTTTGGTGATTTCCCCCCCTGCAGCCTCCCACGCCATTCCCTCAAACTGCCTGGAGCATGTTTTTAGGTGGCAGAGTGGTCTGCAGAAAGAAGGGAAGCTGAAACAGCCATCGGTCCTCTTCCACAAGCGGTGTTCCATGCAAATCTATGTTAATATGGCTAAAATGGGAAGAGTTCTTTCTTTTAGAATCTGTATCCAAGATCACCCTTTAGTACCGTATTTTTCGCCCTATAGGGTGCACCGGCCCATAGGGCACACCTAGTTTTTTTGGGGGGGAATTATTCCCCCCCCCAGGTGTGGGGCTGGAGCGGGGGAAGCCCGAGCTTCCCCCGACCCCAGCCCCCAAAACAGGCTGCTATCCGCAAGCCTAGGGAGCCCGGTGGGAACTCCCGCCGGGCTCCCCAGGCTTGCGGATATCTGCCCGAAGCCCGGGGCGCGAGGGGATCGGTGCGCACCGTCCCCTCTCGTTCTCCAGGCTTCAGCGAAAGCCTGCAGTCGCCCCATAGGAAACACACACATTTCCCCTTCATTTTTGGAGGGGAAAAAGTGTGTCCTATAGGGCGAAAAACTACGGTAATTTAGTTCAGGCAATTATTTTGTATCCAGCAGTTACTTTAACTAGCTGTGATACTGCTTGCTTGCTTGCTTGCTTGCTTGCGTCTAAGGTCTTCACATACAAGGACTGAGAATGTTTAGCTCCCTGTCACAGAGAATTGGTTGGATGCCCCCACAAAAGAAAAAGAAAACCACAAGCAAGGGTTGGAAAAGTGGCCATTGCCACTGTTCTGCAAACATGTACACAAAGGCTTATCCGGTGATATAATAGGAAGGTCCTATAACTGTTCTCATGCTTTTGGTTGGGCGGGAAGTTGCCCAGCCTGTACAACTTGTTGTACAAGTGGATTAATATATTGGGATGTAGTTTCATTTTTGTTGTGCAATATTCTAGAACAAGTAAAGCAAATAGTTCCATCAGCAAAAATTCCTGTGCACCTTTGGATACAACTTATGCATGCACCTATGGTGCTGTATACTATTGGAGAAGTCATTATGCCTCACTGAAAACCCTTGTTAGGGGATAACTCAGGATTGGACTTTTAGCATTGTTGGCAATATTCAGTTGATTCAGCAGAAAGAGGCTGCCTTGGAGCCAGTTCAGATGATGACTGCTTTTTGTGAATGGCCTTGACACAGTTAAATTGATTGATCCCTGTTGACTTCGATGCAATTTCAGCAGCATGCCTGCGTATAAAACTGTAGTTTGAGAGGCTTTTGGCTTAGTGGAATGTTTCTGCTTGTGCCCAGATCCTACCAGCTGTGTTCTGCTTTTAAGAAAGCAGAACAAAAACAAAGCTTGCAAAGTGTATTGACCCAGGATGTGTGGATCCTTGACTGTTTTGATCAAAGAAGCTTGAAGTTAATTCCAATTCATTCTTTTGTTTCTGGATTTTGTTTGTTTGTTTTCCCCCTCGGCTAGTTGGATTAGTTGCCATTAGTGCTTAAGTTTAAGTGAATGTGATTAAATCACTTCAGCAGAGTGGTCATCAATGAGACAGAATGATAGGGAATTTTAGAAATCAGTATGAAGTCAGTATGCCTAATTTGTTCCTGCACCTGCTAGTGATGGGGAGAGAGAGTGGTTTTTCCCCATGGGATTGAAGCTTTATACTTAAAGCTGAGTTCAATAGAATTCTGCATGCAGTGGCGTTTCTGCATATGTGTGTGTGTGTGTGTGTGTGTGTGTGTGTGTGTGTGTTGCATACACTTCAGAAGAAACTACAGTCATACCTCATGTTACTTTTGCTTCATGTTAAGTTTTTTCAGGTTGCGTCCCGCGGTGACCCAGAAGTACCGGAAAGGGTTACTTCTGGGTTTCGCCGCTTGTGCATGCACAGAAGTGCTAAATCATGCTTTGCGCATGTGCAGAAGTGCCAAATCGTGCCGCGCACCTGTGCAGAAACAGTTCTTCAGGTTGTGGGCTTTTCATGTTGCGAACGGACCTCCGGAACGGATCCCGTTCGCAACCAGAGGTACCACTGTAGTGAATTTTCTTCTTAACATTGACCTGATTAGATGGCTGGTAATCCGCTGCCTTGTGGAATATCTTTGGGACAAGAAAAGACTACGGAGGAAACCCTACGCAAATTCAAAATGGAGCTCCTAAGGCAGTTGGTTGACTCCTTCCAGCAACTCCTAAAACCACACTGGTGCCAAACACATTGCTCTGCTTTCCTTTGGACCACATTGGCAAGGCCTTGTCATCTAGCCAGCCCAAGACCGCCTTACTCACTGCCCAGGCTTGCACCCTGGGGAGGTCACTTTGTTGCTGCTGACGCAGCAGTTTGACTTAACTCCTGGAAATGCAATCCATTGTTTCTCGAAACTGACAAAAGCCAACAGCACAGTTCCTCTGTATTCTGAGACAGAGACCATCAAGCAGTGGTCCACATGCTCCACTCTGCTGATCTCTGGAGCACTGATGGAACACTCAAGAATCTGTGTGGCTCTGTACTTAGTTTCTCTGGCAGCTGAGAACGAGCCCCCTCTGTGACTCCCATAACATGGCGCTGGTTTTGACAAAGGCAGTGTTGAAGGAGAAAAGCAGCTCATTCTGTGCTCTGCTAATACCCCTCTGCAATTTTCAAGTGGTCCATGCGGGGGGCGAAATGTTTTAGGACCGGTTCTCATGTTCTCTCTCTGCCCCACCCTGATTTAAGAGCATATAACAGCTAATCTGTTTTAAAAGATCATGCTTCTCAGGTGGGAGAGGTAAGCTGAGAGTCCTTGAATGGCGCAATGCGGCTGAAAACATTGGCTCTGCAAATCCCGTGGTTTTTGACTCCCATCATTAAAAGGTACTTAACAGGTCATAGTTAAACATTAGTTAGGTGTCCTTTAAGCACCACATACCATGAGTAATTCTAATTACGCTGAGTGGAGAAATTGTAAAATGGAACATGGGACTTTCTGAGGGAGGAAAATTGATTTTTGAGTATTTTAGAAATCCAATACAGCTAGGAGTTTTTTCAAGACAGGTGAGGTTTTTTGTTTTTTGCATATAGGGCCTGACCTCTTCTCCAAAAATTCCCAGTGAAGTTGTTTGTGTCAAGTTTGAGAATATGCAGACGACTTGTAAGATATGAAACCTGTTGCTACAAACATAAGTGCGGTTTGAATCCCTGTGGCATCCTTTTCTGGATTTCTTCTACCAAATAGGGGAGCACTTGGGATTTTCTCCCTGTGTTTGCAAAGAGGGATAAGAGTTTGGGTTTGGATTTGATATCCTGCTTTAGCACTACCCTAAGGAGTCTCAAAGCGGCTAACAATCTCCTTTTCCCTTCCTCCCCCACAACAAACACTCTGTGAGGTGAGTGGGGCTGAGAGACTTCAGAGAAGTGTGACTAGCCCAAGGTCACCCAGCAGCTGCATGTGGAGGAGCGGGGAAGCGAACCCAGTTCACCAGATTATGAGTCCACCGCTCTTAACCGCTACGCCACACTGGCTCTCGCAAAGACACCAAATCTCTGCTTTGCCATTGCTGCTTCTCCTTCCTTCCTCTTTACATTTGACTGTATTAGGGCATTCACCCCAAATCTAAATTAGGCGACAACTTGACTTTTGCTCTCAAAATACCACCTTGCAACTAATTAAGCACATGCATGCAAATGATTTTAATTTGCATACACCTTTTCTCTATACAGGAGTGTAAAATGTAAATGGCAAGCTGTTGTGATAGCTAGAAAAACTTAATGGACTGCTGGATAGTTTTCAGGCACAATCTTTATATCTCTATAGGACTCGCCTATAGAAGTGTCCTCTCTCATATAAAACAGTGGCAGCTTGAGGGGGTGGCCTTGGCATTTATGTTACAGCCTTCTTTATGGTAGTGTCACATTTTACTTCCTGCTTTGGGGAGGCATGCTGTTGTTGCTTTCAGGAATTTTTGACACCCCCCCCCAGTACAGTTTTAATATGTTTGCATTGTTTCCTATAAATATTTTGTGAACTACATTGAGCGTTCGGTTGCAGTTCAGTGACACCGTAAAAAATGTTATTTAGGTTTTGGCTAGAGGGGGGTGCCTTTTGCTTTCTGTCAATGCTTTCAGCCTCATGTATTCCTGAAGGACCTTTGTGCGAAAGCAGCGAGGGTTTCTGGGCCGACGCTTGTCATCTTCATGCCATAATGTGGCTTGCTAGCATGTTCTGTTACCATAGATGCCCTTTTCTCCTCATCTCCTATGCTTCTAAGGTGGCACCTTAAAAGGGCCAGGCTATATGCAGTGCTGCATTTATTTAGACCAAGGCTTCCCTTACTCTCAACTGGTTCAAGGTGAAGCTTTACCAATAGCAGCTGATACCACAGCCTATCACCATCCTCCATGCTGTGTATCTGGGCTCCCTAGTGCACATTTCATCTCAGTCTCGGTGTGTGCTTCATACTGTCTTTTATATTACTTCTTCTGCTGTTGTTTTGCAGTTAACCTTGCACAAGCTTTGGAATAGCACCTGTAGCGTTTTAACAGGCGTTCTGCAAAGCTCTTTCCTGCAAGAGCTTAATGTCACCAGAATAACTGCCTGGGATCTTTTATTGTCGCCACATAATCCCTGCAGATAAGGACCCACAACAGAGTCATAGGTTAATAAAACAGCAGCAAATGCTTGAACTCTGCCCGTAGATTAAACAGGGTTGTGAATAGTTAGCTAAGGCAGCAAAATTTCTAGGACTTTTCAGTTGCCAATCTCTTTACAGTCTGGTAGCACTCTTGAAGGTACAGATGGGTGCATAAAGATGATGTGGTTGACAGAAGCCAAGTGGCCCTTTCCTTAAAGCTTAGTAGTAGCTTCAGATGTCTGATTTAAAGATCAGGGCCTCATTGGTGTGTCCCAGATTTGTATGGACCTAAATCTGAAAGACGACATTCACACATGCAGGAGGCAGGAGCCTCTGCGGGTATTGCATTTTGTACCGGAAAGCATTCTATTAGATCAGTGTTTCCCAACCGGTGTTCCGCGGCACACTAGTGTGCCGCGAGAGATTGCCTGGTGTGCCGTGGGAGGGAGGCAGGCGAGTCGGGCGGCGAGAGGCGGGGCGGCGGCGGCGAGGATCCGCGTCGAGCCGGGGGCAGCTCCGCGGTGGTGGTGCCGAGGTTTCTCTCTCCATTCTCCCCTCACACACACACACAGGAAATAACACAGGATCAGCTGACAGGACCCGGCCAATGGGGCGGCGGCGGGGCAGCGCGCGCAAAAGGGAGGAGCGCGAGACAGCGGACGAGGAGGAGGCCGGCATGTCCGGGCAGCAGCAGCAACAACAGCAGCAGCAACTCCCGGCGACGGCTCCTCAAGCCCCGGGCAACCCTACTCCCTCAGCGGCCTCGGCCGCCCTCCTGCTCCACCCGCCGCCGCCTCCCCCGCCGCCGCCGGCCACCTCGGCCCCGCCGCCACCCCCTCCTCCGCCCGCTATCGCCGCCACCACCACAACAGCCGCCGCCGCCTCAGCTGGGCCCATGCCTGCCGGGAGCGGCGGCGGCGGCAGCAGCGCCCCGGCGCCCTTCCCTCACGGCGGCGACCCGGCCCTGCAGTGGCGTAGCGTGGGGGGTGCAGGGGGGGCCGGCCGCACCGGGCGCAACATCTGCGGGGGGCGCACTCGCAGCTCTCTGCCCCTCCCGAGGTACTATTTCTGGGTTAGCGGAGTCTGTAACCTGAAGCGTATGTAACCCGAGGTACCACTGTACTTCCAAGTCAGCGTGCAAGGGATTGCAGGACCGGCGGACTTGGCGGTGGGGGTGGTTGCTGGAGCCTTGTCTGTCCTTTCAGCCCCGCACCCACCGCAGACCCCTTCCTATGCCACTGGTAGCTAGGCGAGGCGGGGGGCACTGGGCGCCACACCTCGGCGCCTGCAGCGTGCCTGAGCCATGCGTCTGCGGGCGAACTGCCCGCAAGCTCCGCTCTGGCCTCTGCCCACCGCCTCAGCCTCCCTACAGCTGAGGGGGAGGCTGCAGCGAGGCTCCACGCAGCGCGCCCTGCCATGGCTTGCCCCCATGGCACTCGCCCCTGGCTGCAGGACGCGCGCGCCGCCCCGGGCCCCTGAGTGGCTAGCTGCGCTGAGCGCAAGGAATACGTCCTCTCCGAGTTCGGCGTCCTCTTCGTGGGCAGCGCGAACCACATCTCCAGCTTCGGGTGGAACTTTGGCCAGGTAGGGGGAAGCCTTTGGGCGGGGGGGGGGGCTGGAGACCGGGGTGGGGAGGGGTTAGGAGAGACGCTACCGGCGCCGTCCAGAAATGCCCAGAGCAACTGGAGCTCAGCTACGCGCACACATGCGCCCTCCAAATCCCGTTTCTCACCCCTTTCTCAAAAGAAGAGAGAAAAAAAGGGTCCTGGGTGTGAAACCAAAGGACCTTTCCAGCTCCTCCTCAATTCCAGGTGTGGATGGCAATGCCTCGTGTCTCCTCCCCCGCGACCAGAGCACACTTCCTAGGCTGGTTGGACGGTCCCTGGGGGTCTTCGGGTTGCCATATTTTGAAGAGCAAAAAACAGGACACATTTGTCGACTTATGCTTTTAGCTATGGATCAGTGGCCTAGCGTGGGGGGTGCAGGGGGGGCCAGCCACACCGGGCGCAACATCTGGGGGTTAGTGTTAGGGGGCGCAAATCCACGGGTTAGGGGGCGCAAATTACTTGCATTGCCCCGGGTGCTGACAACCCACGCTACGCCACTGCGGCCCTGAACGAGCAGGAGAAGGAGCTCAAGTGACGCTGCGCGCTGACGTCACGGGGCTGTAATGGTGGTGTGCCTCGAGATTTTTTTCATCAAACAAGTGTGCCTTTGCCCAAAAAAGGTTGGGAAACACTGTATTAGATTGTGACTATTTGTTCATGGCAATGGGAGGGATACAGTCCAATGCTTGGTATTTTATTCCCGCTTGGACTACTGCAATGCACTCTATAAGGGGCTACCTTTGAAGGTGACCTTGAAACTACAACTAATCCAGAATGCGGCAGCCATACAGGTGACTGGTAGTGGCCGCCGAGACCATGTAACACAGGTCCTGAAAGACCTACATTGGCTCCCAGTACTTTTCCGAGCACAATTCAAAGTGTTGGTGCTGTGACCTGTAAAGCCCTAAACGGCCTTGGCCCACTGTACCTCCATGCCCATTGCTCAGCCCAGACACTGAGGGCCAGCTCCAAGACCCTTCCGGTGGTTCCCTCACTGCGAGAAGTGAGGTGGCAGGGAACCAGGCAGAGGGCCTTCTCGGTAGTGATGCCCACCTGTGGAATGCCCTCCCATCAGATGTCAAGGAAATAAACAACTATTTGACTTTTAGAAGACATCTGAAGGCAGCCCTGTTTAGGGAAGCTTTTAATGTTTTATCATGTTTTTAATATTCTGTTGGGAGCCGCCCAGAGTGGCTGGGGAAACCCAGCCAGATGGGTGGGGTATAAATAATAAATTGTTGTTGTTGTTGTTGTTATCATCATCATCCTGAGTGTAGCACAATGTGAATGCGGTTTCAACAATGGAATGAGGGCAGACCTAATGGGAGCAAGTTAATGGGAGTGCTGGATTGTTTTTCAAAGTTCAGGGGCAGTACCCAAAGCTAGTAGACTTTCTAAAGGTAGGGTCATGGTTTCAAGCCCCACATTGGGCAAAATATTCCTGCATTGCAGGAGGTTGGGCTGGATGACCTTCGTGGTCCCTTCCAACTCTGATTCTAGTCCTAGTCAGAATAGACTTGTTGAAGTTCATTGTGCATGGCTAACCTAGCTTCATTAATTTCGGTCGCTCTGCTCTGAGTAGGACTTAGTCAATGTTAGAAAATCAAGATCTATAAGCTAATTGTCTAATGGCCCCCTTAAACCAGGGTTACGTTCGCCATAAATGAATGTATAGGCACCGTCCACCTCCACCCCCCAGTAAAAGTGGTTATTATTATAAAGAAAAAGAATCTCAAAGTGGTTTACAACACATTCAAACAATCTAGAATAAAACAAATCCATGCTTCGAGGCAAATATTTCAGATCCTTCTCTTAAGTGACATTTTGCTTTCCCCATATTTATTCACCTAAATTCATATAGCTGCCCCGTAAGCAGAAGTACTCTAGGAGGCCGGGGTAGTGTAGACTGCTGGACTCGGACCTGAGTTCAAATCCCCTCTAAACCATGAAGCTCACTGGGTGACCTTGGGCCAGGCACAGCCTCTTAACCTACCTCACAGGGTCGTTGTAGGGAATAACCAAGCCGGGCGTGGGGTGTGAACCATGTACTTCTTAGAGAAAAGGAAGGGATAGGAATGCAATCAATAAGCTCTTCTGTTTGCCTGCTTCAGAAAGCTGGAGGGGCCAGCCAGATAAATAGGGCAGTTGCCAGCCTGGCATCTGCATCTAGAGAGCTCCATGTGGTCACAATTAGACCCACGCCAGTCACAAAACTCGTCTGGTGCCTGTGGGATTTCTAACACTAGACTTAGTTGCATACAATCTTCAGGATTTGAGCAAAGGGAGTGCATCAGTTTACCGGAAGAGCAATCTAGTATGGAAAGATTTTAAGCCGTTCAATGTTGTCAACACTTTTCCCCCCTGCACCTAAAAATTAACTGTGTTTTTTTGTTTCAAAACTATTTTTACTAATGCACATTTGAATCAGTTGGTTAAATGTGTCAATTTTAGTCAAGCCGTTAAATCAACTGATTTCTTTAATCGCACAGTCAAAATAACTATTTGAAGTTGCTGTGCAAACACTCACTTCGTATTCTCTCTCTCTCTCTCTCTCTCACACACACACACATATATATATGCATATAACGCACATACAGTGGTACCCCGGGTTAAGTACTTAATTCGTTTTGCAGGTCCGTTCTTAACCTGAAACTGTTCTTAACCTGAAGCACCACTTTAGCTAATGGGGCCTCCCGCTGCTTCCGTGCCGCTGGAGCACAATTTCTGTTCTCATCCTGAAGCAAAGTTCTTAACTCGGGGTAATATTTCTGGGTTAGAGGAGTCTGTAACCTGAAGCGTATGTAACCTGAAGCATATGTAACCCGAGGTACCACTGTATAATGATTGCTTGCTTGCCTAAGAGAGCTCTCCTGCATGAACAGTAGATTGTGGATGAAAATCTTTGGATCTCGGCCCATGTGACTTTCAGAAACTGCATATATTTAAGAATAGAGTGATGTGTGTGGGTGTAAACATTTCCATTAAAATCCTTGTCAATAATTCTTTTTCCATCTCTCTCTCTCTTGTAGTTGAAGCTTTATATCAAACCACATATCCAGAGTATCTCCAGTACATTTACCTGGTTGCACCAATATCTCTTATGATGCTAAATCCCTTAGGATTTATCTTCTGTGAAATCCAGAAATCGCGAGACAATCAAAGTCTCTCTCACAGCAAAATCAAGATTGTGGGACTTGGGCTTCTTCGAGTGCTGCAGAACCCAATTGTGTTCATGGTCTTCATAGGAATTGGCTCAAACTTCATTCTTAAGCAAAAAATCCCCGAATATTTGGAAAACTTCTTTGATGGACTTGGCAGCTCGTTTTCTGGCTCAGCACTCTTTTATCTGGGCCTCACAATGGTGGGCCAAATAAAGAAGCTGACGAAGGGTACATTTGTTGCACTGATTCTTCTCATCACAGCTAAACTGTAAGTTTGATTCCCTCTCAATCATTTGTGTTTCTATTACTTTCAGTATTGGGTGCATAGCTTCTCTCATAGGATAGAAGCGTTATGAAATTGGTGCAGGAATGGTCTCCAACATTTATTTTTCCTGTTAATTGTTAGCATTTTGGGAGTACATATTAGACTGTTTGGGGGACAATTCTTGTACCCATTGGGTTGTTTCTATACTTTGCCTTCTGCTAATGAAAAGATTCCTTCCATCCACAGAGAGCTTTTGATCCAGTAGAGAGGGATCCTGTGGACGGAAGGGTGGGGAGAGTGACTTCTTGGCCAACCTTCTTCCAGCACTTCCTCCAACATTGTTGTGTAAGGTCCCCCAACCTTCTGGAGCAGTGGAGGTGCTAAAGGAGGAAGTGGCAAAATGATTGAATTCATCAAGCATCCGTAAACTGTAATTAAGGAGATCACTCTGTAGGTGACTCAACATCTACATCTTAAGCTGCAGCTGATGAATCATCTGATTAATATTTTCACAAGCATGACTACTTAAAACACACAGGCAAAATTTAAAGCAGAATTCCTATATGTCCTTCCAGCATGACACTTAAGTCTCAGTGGGTGTTAAGAGTGTTTAGAAACTTTGCATTGAATTGTGGTGAGTAATGTGTTCAAAAGATTGTCTTTGTCTTTTCCTGCTGTTTCATTCCAGTATTCCTTACGGTTGCATTTTGAGGCTAGAAAATATTAAGATTGGCGCTGAGTAATTTGTGTTTACTTTTCCCCTTCTTTTCTGTAGGCTGTTGATGCCGCTTCTATGCAGGGAGATGGTGGAACTGTTCGACAAGAGTGACAGCCTGGTCAACCACACCAGTTTATCAAACTATGCATTTCTGTATGGCGTCTTTCCATCAGCTCCTGGTGTAGCTATATTTGCAACTCAGTTCAACATGGAGGTTGAAATTGTATGTCTCCTGAACAATTAGTGAACAAATGTAAACTTAGGGCAGACCTAAAAAATTGATTTTGTTGGGAATCTCAGGTGAGATATCCACACAGTGGTGGTTTCTCCCAGTACCAATCACCACACAGAAGCTGAGAAAGGTTTAGATAGGTTACTGTTGCAGAAGATAAGGCTCAGTAAACAGTTCTGGATGTAGATATGGATATAGATATAGATACAGCCTCTATGTTTTCCCCAATACAGATATTTACAGATACACGCAAGTACAAAGTATCTCAGTTGCTCTTTATAAGTTCAGAAATTCAAGACGTAACATTGGACAAGTGACAACCAGCTAACTGACTTGCAGAGACACAGCGCTGAGCAGACATGCATTAATCACAGATAGAGTCAGGGCAATGGGCTGTTACCATGGCAACTGGCCTTGGCTGACACCGCACCAGCAATTAGCTCATTCATGGGGTGTTTTATGCTCGTGAAGAAAATTAACACCTTCTCGTGTCCCGTTACTCCCAACAGTTTTTTCTTATTCAAGCGTTCCTGGCTTCTTAACCCTGCTCAGAGATTAAGGGCCACAGTTGTTAATAATAATAATGCAATATACACTTGTGCCTATTGATTTCACTGTGCCTAAGAACATTTAGTTATGTGTCTGATTTGGCTTACATACAGTAATCTGTTTTGTTCATAGTAATGAAACATTACTGGTTATTTCTACTTCATGCTTTTTGCAGACGTTCAAGGGTCACTTAACTGGTTGAAATTTTATTATTATTTATTTAACAAAGTTTAAATACCACTTGATTGAGGTCAAGCATCCGCATGAATGTTGAAATTATCAATATTTGAAACTCCTTAAAAATGAGTTCAAGGCATTACTATTAGCATATAAAGTCCTTGGCAGCTTTGGACCAGTTTATCTGTGAGATTACCTTTCCCCACATGTGCCCGCTCGACCACTCCGATCAGTGGAATTTGCACTAATACAGGTGGCCTCATAATACCTGTTCCACATTTGTAAGAACTCCACCGTTCTTTGGAACTCCCTGCCCATTGATATCAAGCCAGGCACTTTCATTGGACTATTTTCGGCACCTGCTAAAAACATCCTTGTTTAGAAAATCTTGCACAGATGCTTAACAAGTTGAGATAATTTTAATCTGTTTTAGTATTTTAACTTTTGTACATTTTAAAGCACGGTTGTGAATTTTTCTCGATTTTACTGTTTTACCTTTTTGTAAAGGTAAAGGTGTTGGGTTTTTTTTTACAATAAGGGGTATTGGTTGTTGTTTTTAGAATCAAGAGTACAGTGGTGCCCCGCAAGACGAATGCCTCGCAAGACGAAAAACTCGCTAGACGAAAGGGTTTTGCGGTTTTTGAGCTGCTTCGCAAGACGAAAACGTCTTGCGTTTTTTGCAAGTTTGTTTCCTTTTTCTTAACACCCTTAATACAGTTGCGACTTGACTTCGAGGAGCAACTCATAGAACGCGGTGTGGTAGCCTTTTTTTGAGGTTTCTGGCAATTTTTGAAGCTCTTCCAAAACTTTTTCGACACCGTGCTTCGCAAGACGAAAAATTCGCTAGACGAAAAAACTCGCGGAACGAATTAATTTCGTCTTGCGAGGCACCACTGTAATTGGTATATAAATTTTATGAAACAAATAATAAAATATTACTCCAGTGGTCTTCAACCTTTTCATACATGCATCTTTAACCCATTTGTGGATTATGCATTACGGATTGCATTGGATTTGGTTGAAGCAAGAGGGTTATGCTATAGATTGTCTAACTTTCTCCATTCTTGATGTTTTGTACAATGGAACCTCAGTTTCTGAACGTAATCTGTTCCGGAAGACCGTTCAACTTCCGAAACATTCGAAAACCGAGGATCAGTGGGCTGGCTGCAAAGTCAATGGGGGAAAATGAAAAATGCGCCTCAGAAGCCGTTTGACTTCCGAGGCACGTTCAGAAATGGAAGCAATTACTTCCGGGTGTTCGGCTTCCGAGATGCTGGAAAACCAAGGTTCCACTGTATATTGTTTGTTTTATGGTTCTTGTACTAAGCTTTGTATTTTAATATTGCATATTTCCCCTGGAAATCTTTAGGTTGAAGGGTGGGATACAAATTTGATATTAAGATTTTGATTATTAATTATTAAATGGTGTTGCGGGCTTTTACTTGCTGAATACTTTCCATTTATAAATCGCATCAGATGATGTTGATCCACAAAGCTCACACATCATTAAAGTTGTGTTTTCACCCATTTATATTCCTCTCCTGATCTGCAGTTGAAGTCATATGTCCTTGTTGTCACCTTAATTTCTGATTGCAGATAACGTCTGGTATGGTGATCAGCACTTTTGTCTCCGCCCCCATCATGTATGTTTCTGCCTGGCTGTTAACCATCCCGTCTATGGATCCCACTAGACTGGCATCTGCAATCCAAAACGTTAGCTTTGATATTAGTATTGTCAGTCTTGTCTCTTTGGTGAGTTTTAAATTTTCGAAATTGCATTGTTGTGAAGGGGGGGGAGGGAATGAAGCATATAAACCTGCATGTTCAAACATGTAAGCCTGAAAGTGTAAACCTGAGCATGTTTACTTGGAAGTAATTGCCATTGAACACAGTGTGTTTAATTCCAAGTAAACATGCACGGTGTTGGGTTTTCAGTTTCTACCATAGCCAGTTGCTGGAAGACTTGCAGGTTAATAGAAGCTGACAATCTGGGCTATGTGAAATTCTAACCCTTCTGGTTAAAAGGTTACCTGTAACATTACCAACTTGTGATAATGGCAAACAGTCTTGGAATTGTATAAGACAGCACAGGGCTAAAGCAGTTGTCCTGAAAGCTTCAGAATACAGCGGTACCTCAGGTTACAGATGCTTCAGGTTACAGACTCTGCTAACCCAGAAATAGTACCTCGGATTAAGAACTTTGCTTCAGGATGAGAACAGAAATCGTAAGATAGCGGCGCGGCGGCAGCCAGAGGCCCCATTAGCTAAAGTGGTGCTTCAGGTTAAGAACAGTTTCAGGTTAAGAACAGACCTCCAGAACGAATTAAGTTCTTAACCCGAGGTACCACTGTACCAGACATATTAATAGATTTCCCTCCCCCACCCCCTACACTGTCAAATGGGTGGTTTTTTGGCAGGTAACCCTATTTACACGTATATCTACGGATGTTCCGGTTTTATGAATAAGACACCAAGCACTTCTTGTGCTGTGCTGTTCCAGACTGAGGACTGTTTCACAAATTACATTTTCATATATATGTCTGTATTTGGGGGGTGGGGTGGGGAATGGCCTCTGTCCAACTAACTTGTGCCAGCAGAAGCCAGTGCCAAGGATTCCTGCTAGACTTCCCTCTGTGCCCTCCCCAAGTCTTGCTCAGAAGGGTCAGGAGAACTCCACAGTGGGGAGAGTTCTGCCAGTGCAAGAATTTCTCCTTGCTCAGGAGAGGAATCTCTTTGGTGCTATGTTGAATACAGCCCATGTGTTTATACCCTGTGGGTGAAAACAGTACATGAATATTTTCATGTGGGGGGAAGGAGGTCTTATTCTTTGGTGATCACTCGTAGCCGAGTAAGATTGTCTTCCATGAACGCAGTTTCAGCAATGAGTCCGTAAGCGACGGTGGAGGCCAATTCCAGATCCACACGTCCTTCCACAGTGGGGACATTGGTTTCCGGGCAGTGTGGATTTGCCAAGCGTGCCTTCCTCTTAGTGCATTTCTTCCTTGCGTCCTGAGTTTGAGTGTCTTCAAAGCCCATGACACATTTGGTAAAGGCTGCAAAATAGAGGGAGCTGCATTGAAACTGCATAACACCTAGCTCTATCTAAAGAATCCTTGTTTTCAGGGTATTTGATATTTCAGACTGAAGTCTTCTGAGCTTGAAACCAAAATGAAAAACTTCGATCTCTTGATTGGGCTAGCTGTAGATGCATTCAAAGTTTTTTGTGCAGCGGACAAGACAGGGTTGCTAAGCATGTTGGGAGTCGGTGGTGGTTTCTACCTGTTAAGCAAACAGAACATTTTTAAGGGGCTTGATAATTAACTCGCTTGTAAAAATCGGAATGCTGACTCTCACAAGGGACAGCTTTTGACCAAACACATGCATGCATTTGATGTGCTCCCTTCTTTTGTAAAGAAACTGGAATTTGAATCTCTTATCTGTATTTCAGATCTGGTCCCTTGGTGTTATTCTTCTAAGTAAAAAATACAAGCAGCTTCCTCACATGCTTACAACTAACTTACTCATTGCTCAGGTCAGTATAACGTAGACTATAAACATATGGAACATTTCTTGTAAAAGGGATGGTTTTGAAAGTAATAATAAGCAGGAAGTGTTTTGTTTTCTGCTGAAGCTCTGAAGGTGTGTGCCACAGACAGCAATCTTAGTGAAACCAAGTAGGCCTGGCTAATGTAACCAGGAGATAACCTGGAAATCCCATGTATGTTGCTTTGTGTTCATGATGGAAGAATATGAACAATGAGAGATAAATCGATACATTGAGTTGCTTCTGCAAAGGGAATTCTCCACTGCAGCTTTCTGCGTACCCCAACAAAAGTTTTCCCTGAGAGTTGGGTAGAATATGAGACTCTGGGAGAGAAACTTGGGGAAATCTTTCAGAGGCACCTGCAATGAAAAGGAGGGGTTGGGAAATTCCCCTTGCCCCAAGCATTGCATTACCTTGGTTTAAGAACAGCTTAGTTTATGAACAACTTGGGATTAAGAACGCTGCAAACCCGGAAGTAGGTGTTCTGGTTTGTGAACTTTGCTTTGGAAGCAGAACATGTTTCGCTTCCTGTTGAGTGTGTTCCATTTGCAAATTGAGTCCCCTGCTGCTATGGGAAAGCACGCCTTGGTTTAAGAATGGACTTCCGGAATGTCTTAAGTTCATAAACCAAGGTGCTACTGTATATGCAAACTTGGTTCTTTCACAATATTGCAAGCTGAATGTGCAAATTTCTGTGCTTGTCTGCTAGAAGCAGTGCATGTAGCCAATGCAGAATGAAACCCTGTCCTGCCATCCATTGCAAGTAATGTCAGCTGATGGGCAGATGAATGTCATTTGGGGGAAAGGGCCTTGCAGGCCAAGAGTGGCCTGCTGGGATACTCAACATTGAGATACCCCACCCCGTCTTAGAGTCCTTACTCCTTCTGACAACAGGGGGCAAGCATGCCTCTTCCAAGATTATGTCTTCTCTGGCACAAGCATTGTATAATCTAAAATAAAATAAAGCTCTTTTCTGATACTCCCTCTATTATAGGCCAGGGAAGGGAAACAGAAACCGCTCCACCTCTTCCCCTTCCCACCCCAAAGTAACAGGGCAAAGGGAAAGCTACAGTTAGCCTGTTAATCAATCAGTTCATTAATTACGTGAATTTTAATTTCTGAGATGTCTTCCGTTGCATGGCAAACCCTTAAAGTGAATTAAAAATAAACCTGATTTTTACCTTTCAGTTTGTAGCCTGTGTTGGAATGGTAATGTGGAATTTCACTATTAAAGAGAGAAGCATCACTCTGCAAATCCTTGTGTTCATCTTCCTGTACAGTGCGCTTTACAGTGCTTTTTTGTGGACAGGTAAGCTAAAAAGCAGTAATACGGGGTATCCAAAACGCAACTCCATGTGCATTGTGGTGATCCTGCAAGTTATTTCCCCTCTTAATTAATAGCGCCTTTGCGATAGTGGTCTGTACATTTCCTTCCTTCCAAGCCGAGTCAGCCTGTTTTTTCCTAGTGTGTCCAGCCTGTCACCGGGGTGCCCAGAATGCTTTGCATTCATATGGCGCTTTCAGTGTGCAAATTACATCACGCACATTAGAATCATCATCATATTCACAACATCCCTGTAAGGAAGGGCCAGTATTAATTTTATGTTGCAGATTGGACGTCAAGTAGGAAAGTGGCTTGCCTCAAACCACCTAGTTGAGTCCGTAGCTGAGCTGGGAATTGATCTGGATTGCATCTCGTTTCTGTTAGTCGCTATACTAACAACAGCTTCCTTCCTAGTCTGGATTATCCTGCATATGCCTGCCAGCTGGATTGTTGCATATTTTAGAAGTCTGTGCTAGATCAGTAAAAGAGCTTTGCATCCTGGGACTTAGTCCCCTGCATCTCTAGATAGAGATGAGAAGACTCCTGTCTGAAGAGAGTTGCTGCTGGTTTGGTCTGCCTTTCATCGAATCTTAGAATTGTAGAGTTGGAAGGGACCGCGAGGGTCATCTAGTCCAACCCCCTGCAATGCTGGACTTTTTTGCCCATTGTGTGGCTCGAATCCCTGGCCCTGAGGTTAAGAGTCTCATCCTCTACCAACAGAGCTGTCGAGGTGGTCTACTTTGTGTGCAGCATCTTCCTATGTTCCTGTTTCCTACAGTGTATCCTTATTTCTTAATACCTTCGGTGGTTATAAGGGGATGAGGCATCTCACTTTGGTGGGTGGGTGGGGGGAAACACTGCTTCCTTAAAAAGAAATAAACCAAGTTTCAAACTTTGTCGTTCTCAGGTTTCTTATCTTTCTCTCTGCTGCTTTTGAAAAGAAGAGAAGCCATAAAGATCCCTGTCGGATTTATCATTATAGCTGGCTGGGGGTATGTTGGCAGAGGCTCTTTACTGAGAAAATACGTAGGAAGCCAGAAGCTAATGACCTGTGTGGTTCATCTTGGGTTTTTTGTTTATTGCAGCATCCCAGCGGTTCTTGTGGGAATCCTGTTAATCTCTGGTGAACGCTCGGATAACATCATTGATTCTGCATTCTTTTATGGAAAAGATCAGGTATAGAGGTTCTTCCACTCCTGTCTTTTAATAGTTGACTTTCCGTAGTCAGTGTCTGTGAATTCTGCCTTCCAGGGGAGGGATATCCTTTCAGGCCAAGCACCTTATTTAGAATCATAGAATCATAGAGTTGGAATAGACCACAAGGGCCATCGAGTCCAACCCCCTGCCAAGCAGGAAACACCATCAGAGCACTCCTGACATATGGCTGTCAAGCCTCTGCTTAAAGACCTCCAAAGAAGGAGACTCCACCACACTCCTTGGCAGCAAATTCCACTGTCGAACAGCTCTTACTGTCAGGAAGTTCTTCCTAATGTTTAGGTGGAATCTTCTTTCTTGTAGCTTGGATCCATTGCTCCGTGTCCGCTTCTCTGGAGCAGCAGAAAACAACCTTTCTCCCTCCTCTATATGACATCCTTTTATATATTTGAACATGGCTATCATATCACCCCTTAACCTCCTCTTCTCCAGGCTAAACATGCCCAGTTCCCTTAGCCGTTCCTCATAAGGCATCGTTTCCAGACCTTTGACCATTTTGGTTGCCCTCCTCTGGACACGTTTACTTGTGGGCAACCTTACAGAGGGCCATAAGGCAAAAGTTGGTGCCGTAACTGATGTAGTTCTTACCTTTTTGTACAGTAAGGTATGTTCTAGCCAAACGGCACACCCCTCTACCTAGGGAAACAAATAGTGTTTCAAGCAATATTGAAACGAGGGCAGTGATGTATGGCCTGAGGAGAATCACAGTGACTGCTTGGAAGACCTGGAGCAGGCTTCCTCAACCTCGGCCTTCCAGATGTTTTTGGCCTACAACTCCCATGATCCCTAGCTAGCAGGACCAGTGGTCAGGGATGATGGGAATTGTAGTCTCAAAACATCTGGAGGGCTGAGGTTGAGGAAGCATGACCTGGAGGACCTTGTTCAGCCCCTCATCCTTAGGCTTTCCCACCCCTACTATGCACTTTCCATCTGGTACCTCGGGTTACAGATGCTTCAGGTTACAGACTCCGCTAACCCAGAAATATTACCTCGAGTTAAGAACTTTGCTTCAGGGTGAGAACAGAAATCGTGCAGCGGTGGCGCAGCAGCAGGAGGCCCCATTAGCTAAAGTGGTGCTTCAGGTTAAGAATAGTTTCAGGTTAAGAACAGACCTCCAGAACGAATTAAGTTCTTAACCTGAGGTACCACTGTAATCTTGGATTCACTTTTACAGGGGGGAAAGAATCACAACTTCCAAGAAACAAGGTGTAGAATTGACCGCATCCCTTAAAAGCAATACTTGAGGAGTGCTTTAGCAGCCGAGATTTCTATATGCTCGACAGAATTATATGCGTGGTGTTGGGTAGAGAAAGGGGATGAAAAAGGCAATATGAAAAAAGGGAATGCGTATTAAAGGTATAATTATGAATGACTGTCAGAGACGCTGAAGGAAGTTCAAAACATGCATAATTTGTTGTATTCGGGATAAAATGTATAACTGGATGAAAATCAATAAAATTTATTAAAATAAAAAAAAGAGAAAGGGGATGTTGGCAAAGTACTGAGGATTAGATTATTTTGCTTGAGAAGTTGCAAAGCCGACATTAAACTTGACATCTGGTGTACAGTATGAACCAGAGGAGGCACAGGTTTCAGCAAGAAGTTCTAAATAAATCTGAGGCAGGTGAATGTGGCAAATGGAATGTTATTATTGTGTTTTTGGTTCCTTCCCCCCCCCCAAAAGCGACTTGTACTGTAATACAAACATCTGTTCCCAGCCTTTGACTGTGTGTCAGCCTCGAATTGAATTTGAGATGTGTGTCAGCCTCAATTAAGCAAATAGCATTTGTTTTATTCAGTATTTTAGAGACACAGTGATGCTGAATTTCGCATAGGTTCTTTCAAATGACAAGGGACCTACTGAACTCCTGCCTCTCTCTCCCCCCTTCCCCCATTTTTGCAGATGATTATCACAGCAGTAATCGTATCCATCAGCATATTGATATCGGGTGTATCACTCATGTGTATGAACAGATCTGGAATGGAAGCCAGCTATGAGGTGTTGACCCAAGATTCCCAACACAGTCAAACAGAGGAAACAGAAAGGGAATTTAACGAGCGCAGTAGATCTCCAGACAGTTCTTCTCGTTCGTTGGTGGACCCTTCAATGGAAAGAGGTATGATAAATCCTTAATAGAAGAAGCCTGGTTACCTTTGACGGCAATAGGGCATACTAAGGCCTCTGTCAGGCAATTGTTTTCCATTTTTTTTCCGACCCAGGCATGCATGTTCCACACCTAAACTTGTAGACATTGCCACTTGCAATCCCCCGCTCACCTTGGCAGTGATGTCTGAATGCCCGCCTCAAATAATGTACTGCAGTCGAATTGCAAACCCATTGCAGGCCCATTTAAAAGAGCATAATCTTGTCTTGCTGTCACAATACTCTCTAGAAAAATAGACACCTTTCTAATCTGCCATTTTTCCTCTAGGGTGCTGTGAGTGCCAAAAGCCGAATAGAAGGTTATGCTGTTCTGAAGGAGAGCCAGGATCCAGTCGTAGCAGCGCCCGCGATAACTGCACCACATCGATTGAGACAGGTGAAGCACAACTGTAGTATCCTGTGTCTTTCAAGCCCCTTTACAAGTTTTAAAACGGAAGCATGTGAAATTGCAAAATTGCACATCTGTTCGTTAAGAGGTCTGCATGTGCCGGGCCGAGAGTACATCACCCACATTTCAAGTTACGAACCTTTTCACATATCAGTCCCGTAAAGGGGGTCTGTGCACAGGAAGGGCAGAGAGGGTCAGTGGCTGTTGCCCTTTTCTATGTGTGAACTTCCAGCTGCACAGTTAATACATAAAGGGAGCTCTTATGGTTGAGTTTGGTCGTATTCATGTACTGCCACACGGGTTTCGGAAAATTATTTGATGGTAACTGGCCAAACTGATAATAAGCTTAATTTTTAGTGAGTGAAAAAATGAATACGCCCAAAAGTAACTTTTGACAGTAGGGGTGTAGGAAGTCATTCACTGCCTCCTGTTATAATTTGGGTGAGGGTTAGAATGGCGGGGGGGGGGGGACCGTAGCTTGCTTTTAAGACAGCTGGAAAAGCAAGGCATCATCCCACTAGCCCCTTTGCACTTTCTGCATGTAGGGACGCGGGTGGCACTGTGGTCTAAACCACTGAGCCTAGGGCTTGCCGATCAGAAGGTCGGCGGTTCGAATCCCCACAATGGGGTGAGCTCCCATTGCTCTGTCCCAGCTCCTGCCAACCTAGCAGTTTGAAAGCACGCCAGTGCAAGTAGATAAATAGGTACTGCTGTGGCGGGAAGGTAAATGGCATTTCTGTGCACTCTGGTTTCCATCACGGTGTCCCGTTGCACCAGAAGCGGTTTAGTCGTGCTGGCCACATGACCTGGAAAGCTGTCTGTGGACAAATGCTGGCTCCCTCGGCCTGAAAGCGTGATCAGTGCTGTAACCCCATAGTTGCCTTTGACTGGACTTAACCGTCCAGGGGTCCTTTACCTTTTTATCTTTTTTTTTTACCACTGCACCATCTCCCACAATCTTCAGAGAATATTCTAAGAGCCTTTATATGGGATGGATAGAAAACCATAATGTTTGGGGACAGCAACTCCCTACGTTATTTGTGGGTCTATAGAGGATCACACAACGAAGGAAGCAGTAGCAGGAAGGAAATAATTTCACCTGTTTGTCAAGAAGGGCAGCATATTCTTTGGCAAAGCGAACAACTTGACTAGAGAGACTAGAGTGTGTGTCATTGGTTAACAAGTAAGGAAGAGGAAAGGCGCCTAGGCCTCATCTAAGTTAGCAGGAACTATCGCTGCTAAGATTGGCAGCAGAAAGGAATCCAGTGTTCAGCTGCAGCAAGCTCCCTGTATGGGAATTTGTTGACCTCTTGCTGCCATCTGGTGGCCGGAATGATTTTTGCAGTCAAGAACTTTTGACACTTTCTATAAATACGCCAAATTCAACTTTATAATAATAATAATAAATTTTATTTATATCCCGCCCTCCCCAGCCGAGCCAGGCTCAGGGCGGCTAACAACAGTCAAATAACAATCAAATAATAGCACATTCTAAAAATATTTCGTTATAAAAATTAGTTAAAATCAAATTGATGGCAACCGATTAAACAAAATTCTGTGCAGGTTGCCGGAGGAGGGAGTCAGGCTGCGCCCTGACCAAAAGCTTGGCGGAACAACTCTGTCTTGCAGGCCCTGCGGAAAGATGTCAGATCCCGCAGGGCCCTAGTCTCTTGTGACAGAGCATTCCACCAGGTTGGAGCTGCAGCCGAGAAGGCCCTGGCTCTGGTTGAGGCCAGCCTAACCTCTCTGAGGCCTGGGACCTTGAGGGTGTTATTATTTGTAGACCGTAGGTTTCTCTGTGGGGCATACCAGGAGAGGCGGTCCCGTAGGTACGAGGGTCCTAGGCCGTATAGGGCTTTAAAGGTTAAAACCAGCACCTTAAACCTGATCCTGTACTCCACCGGGAGCCAGTGCAGCTGGTATAGCACCGGATGAATGTGATCCCGCAGCGAAGACCCCGTAAGGAGTCTCGCTGCGGCATTCTGCACCCGCTGGAGTTTCTGGGTCAGTCTCAAGGGCAGCCCCACGTAAAGCGAGTTACAATAATCCAGTCTGGAGGTGACCGTCGCATGGATCACAGTGGCTAGGTCAGGGCGAGAGAGATAAGGGGCCAACTGCTTAGCTTGGCGGAGATGGAAAAATGCCGCCTTTGTTATAGCTGTAATCTGCGCCTCCATAGAAAGGGAGGTATCGAAGATTACACCCAAACTCTTAACGGACGGTGCTGGCACTAATTGCACCCCCGCAAGAGATGGGAGTTGCCCCCTCGATCCCATATCGTCCCGCCCCAGCCAGAGGACCTCTGTCTTCGAAGGATTTAACTTCAACCGGCTCCCACGTAACCATCCAGCCACAGCTTCCAGACATCTGGTCAGTGTGTCTGGGGCCGAGTTAGGATGGCCATCCATCAACAGATAGAGTTGGGTGTCATCAGCATACTGGTGGCAACCCAGCCCAAAACTCCGGACAAGCTGGGCGAGGGGGCGCATAAAGATGTTAAAAAGCATCGGGGAGAGAATCGCACCCTGAGGCACTCCACACACCAAGGAGTGACGCGATGACAATTCCCCCCCAAGCGCCACCCTCTGTCCCCGATCAGAGAGAAACGAGCGCAGCCATTGAAGGACTGTGCCCTGGATCCCCACGTCGGCAAGGCGGTGGTCCAGGAGTTCGTGATCCACCATGTCAAAGGCTGCTGACAGATCTAGGAGAATCAGCAGCCCCGACCCGCCTCGATCCAGCTGCCTGCGGAGATCATCTGTTAGGGCGACCAGAGCCGTCTCGGTCCCATGACCAGCACGGAAGCCGGACTGGAATGGATCCAAAGCAGATGTTTCATCCAGAAACCTACCAAGCTGTTCAGCAACCGCTCTCTCAATCACCTTACCCAGGAATGGAAGATTCGAGACCGGGCGGTAATTGGATAGATCTAAGGGATCTAACGATGTTTTCTTTAAGAGCGGACGCACCACCGCCTCCTTCAATTCCCCTGGGAATATCCCGGTGCCAAGGGACAAATTGATGATATCCCCCAGGGGGGCCCGCACCTCGTCTGGACACGCTCTAATCAGCCATGACGGGCACGGGTCAAGAGGACAGGTGGTGGGCTTTCCAGCTTGGAGGAATCTGTCCACATCGGCTGGAGATATCCGGTCAAAGTGGTCCAATACTGGACCCGAGGACAGTCGAGGGGCCTCCAGTTCCTTTATTGTATCCAAATTGGCAGGGAGGTCATGGCGGAGCAACAGGACCTTCTCCGCAAAAAAGCTCGCAAATGCCTCACAGCTGTGTGTCCGATTGTTATTTAAATTTGGCTGTCCTTCAAGGGACGTTAATGACCGGATTATACTAAATAATTGCGCCGGGCGAGAGCTAGCAGATGCAATGGAGGCCGAGAAGTAAGACTTCTTAGCGGCCTTCACTGCCATCTCATAGGTTTTCATAAAAACCCTATAAGATGTTCTTGAGGCTCCGTCACGGGCACCCCGCCATACTCGCTCTAGCCGTCTGAGGTCCCGCTTCATTTTCCGAAGCTCCTCGGTAAACCAGGGAGCCCGGTTTCTGCGGGGTCGCAGAGGGCGCTTAGGTGCGATCTCATCGATGGCTGCCAGGAGCTGGGTATTCCAGCCCTCAACAAGCTCAGTCAATGAGTCGCCAGGGGGAGCAAGGTCCCGCAAGGCTTGACGGAATCTATCAGGGTCCATCAGCCTCTGCGGGCGAGCCCAAATCGGCTCGCCACCTAAGCAGGGTGGGGGTGGAAAGTCAATCCTGGCTTTCAGAGCGTAGTGATCAGACCATGGCACCTTCATCGAGGGAGACATGATCACATCTATACCGGCGCCAAAGATCAAATCCAGCGTGTGGCCTGCTTGATGTGTGGGGCCCGAAACAAACTGGGAGAGCCCTAGTGTCGCCATGGAAGACACCAGGTCCAGAGCCTGTGAGGAGGGAGTGGCATCAGCATGGATGTTGAAGTCCCCCAATACCAATAGGTTAGGGAACTCCAAGGCCCAGCCGGCCACCGCCTCCAATAGGCCTGACAGGGTGGCTGCTGGTGCGCTAGGTGGCCGGTACACCAGCCAGACAGCCAAGCTCTCCTCGGAGCCCCACACTAGGCCAACACATTCAATGCCGGGGATCGATGGCGATGGCAGAGCCCTGAAAGAACAGTCTTCTCGGATTAATAATGCCACCCCTCCCCCCCGGCCCACAGTCCGCGACTGGTGGAGGACGGAGAAACCTGGGGGCGCCATCTCTCGTAAGGTAACAGTTTCCCCTTCGCGCACCCAGGTCTCCGTCACACAAGCCAGGTCAACCCCCTGCGAGGTGAAGAAGTCTCGCAGGGTGGCGGTTTTTTTGCCTATAGACCTGGCATTGCACAACACCAGTGACGGAGGTGAGTAATCCTTGCTCACCCTACCTTCGTCCCTCGGGATGGGGCGCAGATTGGAAGGGGTACGAGCATATCCATATCTCGATCCCCTTCGCCTATGACATCTGCCCCCACCGCCATACCTCCCTCGCCCCACTACGGTAGCAATCCCAAGCCTCAAACCAACCTTTAGAAGTGGAATTCATTGTAGTGCTTAGCTGTTGATGTATATGAGAAACGAGGTCCACTCGCCAGTGCTATTTTTCTAAAAAAAGAGGTGTCGGAACTCACCACAAACGCCTTCCTTGTTCTCTTATAATAGCAATGGCGCTGGAACAGAGTTCCTGCTGAAAAAAAGCCTTGTCGCTTGTGCAGTGAAACCTTCCCACTTCCTATCCCCGCGTGCCCCGTAAATCTTTACTGGGGCTTCACCCAACCCTCCAGAGCAGATTGTGGGGGAGCCCTACTGCATACAGCTTCACTGAACCCCGCCCTAAATTCTATTACGTTATGTTTTACCTATGGAATTTGACGTAGGGCCGAATAAATAAAATGCCAGCATGCTGATATTCAGCTTAGTAAGGCTACACCATGTAGAAAGCATTGTGGGTCGGTATTTTAGTGCCAGTATTTCCTTTCTCGTTTCTCTCCTCCCCACACCTGGCCGGGAAATTTAATGTTGGATTAAAAGCCTGTTCCAGAGAATGGCTTTAGTGCTGTGCTGTTTTAAGCTATTCAAGTGGTAACTGCCCATGTTGCTTTGTAAGGTCACAGAAATAGGGTAGCTGTTGGCCTGGGTCAAAACTCTTAAGTCTTTCACTCCTTGAAGCAAGCAGCCAGTAAAGTCTTTCACAAGCAAAAGATGTGTGGGTGTGGAATGCAATGGAAAAGAAAGGACATACAGTTTATTTTTCTGATTAGTGTTTTCTAGTGGGGGGGAAATGCTTTTGCTTTAACAATATGATAGTAATCAATGCAGTATTTACATATCAATTGGGCAAAATGAAAAACTTAACATATTTACTTTAATGTTTTTCAGCGAATCGGTGCTTAAGTCCATGCAGTTCTCAGAGCTGTGCCTTGGTCCAGGAAGAGCAGCTTCTGCAAACTGGAGACAAGCAGCTGGCTAGACATGTGCTGCTGTGCTTGCTTCTCATTGTGGGCCTCTTTGCTGTAAATTGCATTATTTTTTTCACCTCTTCTGATAACTGTTTTAGTTCATTGATTCACACCAATGTTTAGGGAAGTTAGTGCAGGCAGGGGAAACTTTCAATGCCATTATAATTTATGCAGCATTTTTTATTTGCTGCATTTATATCCCATCTTTCCTCTGCAGAGCTCACTGCATCATTCTCCTCCACCCCCAATCTTATCTTCACAACATTCATGTCAAGTAGGTTGCTTGCATTTGCACCGAAATTCTAGAGGTCCTCAGCAATGCACAGCGTTAAGAGTTAACAGTAGGTGGACCAGTGGTCTGTGATATCGTCAGTTTCCTATCTCCTCTTCCTTAGTTGTGTTAATATAAGAACATTGCATAAACCCCTTGCATGGAATGATGTCTGAAGTGACCTTCATTAAATAGTGATAAGCCATCTGTTGAGGTGTAATGAAGAGGTATTGCACAAAGAGTAGCTGGCATGGCGTCTTTCACATGTTCTGGGCTACATTTTCCCTAATCTTGCTGACTGGGTCCAATGGGAGTTGAGTCTTAACAACCTCTGAAGGACACCCTGTTGTCTACCTCTGAAATAGGCTACCACACCTGTAGTCGTGCTTTCCTGTCATGCTTTCAAGTGTAGGTATAACAGCAGACAGCATTGGAGTGATAAAGAGATGGGCTGGTTGTTCCATCAGCTGTGTATTTAGTGAAATAAACATTTCATTAAATTCTTGGGGTGTGGTACTCGACCACATAGTTTTGTAAGTCGAATGAGTTGTGTTTGGACATTGGGGCTTCCCCTGTGTGCCCCACCAAATCCAAATCTGCTTCATAAGGTAGTGGGAACCCCCAGAACAGATTTAAGAGGGTGCATTGGGGTGGGAAGGGAGAACATTCTCTTGCTTAGAGACAAATCCATTGTGCTGATGGACTGTTCCCCCTTAGTGCTACTTTGAATGCATACAACCCATGGCTTTAATATATTAGTACAGAGACAAATGACTAGTAGCTTTCCATTGGAAAAGCCTTATGTTAAACAGATGTACAATCCACCTCGTTCCAAGCCCTAAAGTGGATTGCAATAAAAATAACAAAATTCACACACATAGAAGTGAAGCTTTAAAAATATTTGTTCTTCTTGTCTTCCCCCAGAATTTATCCAGCTGTTTGTGGTGGTTGTTCAACCAAGAACCTGGAAGACTCTATGTGGAGCTACAATTCTTTTGCGCTGTATTTAATTTTGGTCAGGTAATATTGACTCTGACATCACACCTCCAATCTTACATTCACTTGACTGAGACAACATCTCACTGAACCCAGTTAGCATGCCTAAGAAGATTGGGATAAAAAGAGTTTGCCAGGAAGGGGGGGAGGGGACCCTCTTTGTTCCTTTGCTTATTATGAACTTGAAGAAAATTATGTTGAAAGTACTCGCTCTGTCAATGTGCTCTGGCAAGTTGCACTGGGTTCCTGGCTGCTGCACCAGTCCTTAAAGGGAGGGGGGAAATACTCATTTCCAATAGACAGGTGTTTCATTAGCATCTGTCACCAAGACACAGGATGGATGGATGTTTCAGCATTATCAAGTGACTGTCATCAAGGCCTGCAGATTTCAATCAGTGCACATTATTGAAAGTAGTCATTAACTTGTAACTTAGGTATTTGTACTAGCACTTATTTTAATTCCTGCTGCTGTTACCACATACACACTTGTGTGTGAGAATGTGTGTGTATAACCTGAAGTAAAATAAAAGCCAAAAGTGTCTTGTGATACCTTAAAATTCCTTGGATTTTAGTGGTCTACTTATCAATGTTTTTTGTTTTTTTTTAAATAACAATCCTTTCTTTTTCAGGGATTCATTTCTTTTGGAATTTTTGGTTTAGACAAACATCTTATTATTCTTCCATTCAAACGGAGGTAATTTTCCAAATAAGTATATGAATGTGTTAATAATGCCAACTGTCTTTCAGATTTAAACCCCAACTAATGTTATTTCTGCCGCCTTCTCCATGCAGCTCTTAACTTTTGTACCATTCATGAAACAACATTCACATACATGGAATGGGGCTTTCTCTTCAACTCATTCTCTGTGTGGCCCTCTGTTCCTGAGAATCTGCTCTATGGGATTGGGGGGGGCTTGAGGATGGTAGGAGATATTATTACGGTGGGCAGGGGTGGAGTTTACAAATTGCTGTCCTCCTTACACAAACAGAGCAGCTTAGAATCCAAGCTATAGTCACCAAATGATGAACAAGTGTGTATAAATCAGCCCAAAGGGTACAATCATACCTCAGAAGTAGAACAGAATCTGTTCCAGAAGTCCGTTCGACTTCCAAAATGTTCAGGAACCAAGGCGCGGCTTCAGATTGGCTACAGGAAGCTCCTGCAGGCATCGGAAGCCGCAGAAGTTGTGACGGTCGTTCAAGTTCCAAATAACATTCGCAATCCAGAACACTCACTTCCAGTTTCGCGTGGCATTCAGGAGCCAAAACGTTTGTCTCGCAAGACGTTTGGCTTCCGAGGTATGACTGTACTTGAATTCAGGAGCAGAAATTCACACCTATTCATCTCGTTTTCTATTTCATACTGCTTCTCCCTTGAAACTAATTATTTTCAAAGACCTGATTTGATCACTCATCTATACAAAATAGAAAGATAATGTACGTAGATATTTATAATAAGACATTCCTATTTGGTATTTCTTTTTATTTGTTGTAATATTTCAGTGGGCTTGTTTCAGATTGACTTTTTCTCTTTCCAGGTTTGAATTCCTCTGGGGAAACAGGACATCGGAGCGCAGGGAATCCACTGTACCCGAGGAAATCCGGATGACGTGCCAACAGTTTGTTAATTACCACAAAGAGATGTGTGTCAGGAGCATTGTCCAAGACAGAAGGTGGGGCTGTATATCAATGTAAAGATTTATTCAAACTGTTTCTATTCTTGGATGATGGGTACACTTTGCAGACAGTTCTGGTGTTCTATCTCTGAGTGTTTTGTGCTGGAAACACTTCCGAATAACACTAAATATGCATGTGAAAGCCTCTAGACTCGTGTTTTGTTTTCTAATTCCTGGACTGAGGTATGCTTGGTCTTAAACCAAAACGACAGGAAATCATTTTCAAGATTCTTTTTCTGAGTTAAGATGAGTGTCAGACTAGTGGAAAGTGGCTGGCATTGCTGAGGGATTCCAAGGAACCAAAAATCCAGTGCAGTTTTGAAATTAGTGATTAAAGTGAGTGCTGTCTTGAAAGGTTTGGTGTGTCGATTCAAAATGGCATGCTGTTGTATCCTGAAACTTAAGACAAAAATCTGCTCCTTGATCTCAGCAACCATCATACAAAATTTGCTTATGATACCTTAAAAGATCGTCTATATGCCTAGAGAACAAACTTCTTTCCAAAATAGATAGTAGATCATGCTAGTATGCTCAAATTATAGCCAATCGTTTTACATGCTGATCGAAAACAATTTACAGTACATCTCCTTAAAATACATTTTAATAAATATTTTTATTTAATTTTCCAGTATAACACAAAAAAATCCCCATATCATAAATATAACCCCTTCCCTCCTCATGAGAACAAAGTAAAGAGTTCAGCCAAATATAACCCACCACAGTTCGGCATGCACTGGCAGAGGTTGGATGGAATTGGTTTCTGATATGTACGTTATAAAGGCATGTCCTATTTCTACAAGGTCGTTTTCCATTTGTTGCCTATTCAGTGTTTTTAACTGTTTAGTCTGCTTTTCCAGCCCTTTTGATTTCAAGCAGGCAACTGCAAACAATCCAAACCCATCCCATTTTGTGCAATCAATGGATAAGCTGCAACCATTAGAAAGTCTTATTTTAAACATTTGAACCTCAAACACTTAATGCAAGAGCTCAAAAGTAGTGGTGGAAGAAGCTACTGTTTTCTAACCTGTTGTCCTCCACGTAGTAGTGCATGAAACCAAGAAATATTGGGCTTAAAACTCACATCAGATGGAGTTCGTACTGATGCTACTCTTGGAAGACTTGGTGGTGTATTTTTTAATCGCTTTAGAGATCAAATTTATTATGTACCTGAAGTCCTAAATCGGGTGGGGATCTGTTCATTCAAGGAGCAACTGATTAGCAAAAAGGGACTTGGATGTGTCCCAAAGTGTGTAATTGTGGCTTCTAACTCTGCAAGATCAGCTGCAAGGAGACCAAAGCAGAGGGCCTGGGTGGGTGTATTTCAGCAGAAGGTACTTACATTCCTTAAGAGATATTCAAAATGCTGTCCACACACCTTGCAATTTCTTGCATGCAATCTTTGGGATGCAAAGTTCATTATTAAGTTTGAGGCTCTGTAAGGCAGGGCTTGCAGTCCCAACTGTGCATTGTTTAGATGTTCATTCACCTGCACAGTCAGGACTGAGGAAGGATGTTGGAGAAAATGGGATCTTGTGTGGATGGGGCAATAGCTGTGTATGTGTGTGTCTGTGTCTGGTGTTAGAGGTGTAGGTGTAGGATTATATGTGGGTCTGGCCTTGTCCACTCTGAGAATGCAGCCCCCATGACAGCTTTTCACCAGGGTGCTGCAGCCCTTGGCCTGAAAGAAAGTTCCCCACCCCTTTCCCAAATGAGAGAGTTGTGTTTGTCACGATGTTTTCAGATATAAGCAGTGAGGTTTCCAGTTCAGGATTACATATTTCCCAAAAGTTTTGTCTTTTGGGATAAGGGGTATGTAATAAACTTACTGAAAAGGAATTTTAGAACAGTAAGATGGCTTGAGTGAACAACTTAGGACAATTCTGCTGAATTCTTTGTTTTTTAAGTTCTGAATCGAAATGTTTTTTTTTTGTTTTGAGTATGTACATTTGTAGAGTGCCCTTATTTCCATACTGTGGTGAAATATGTGCCTTCTCTTGATCCTTTCTCATATACGTGTTTTGCTTCTAATGTTTTTTTCCCCTCTCTCCTTCTCAGTTGAAAGTCCTGCATCAGTCCTCTTCTGATGTTGTTGTTTCTTCTTCTTCCATCCTTTTTTGTGTTGGCTCTGCTTCACTTCACTAATCCAAATAAATGTTTGCTCTTCGTTCTAATAAAAATGCTGATGGGTTCCTTCTTTACGTTGGTTTGCTGCCTTGTGTCATATTGGCTTGCTCTGATTCTCTAACACATGCTTCCTTACAAGATAAGCAGAAACATTCACTATCACAGGTCAACTTCTGAACAATATCCTTGTGGCCGTGGGTAGTTTTTCTCCACTGTGTCACTGGAAATAGAACTTGATCTTTTTTTCTTCCAAATGTCGTTCTCAGTATCTTGCATATTCACGACAATTTAGGGGAATTGAAAAAGTTCCATTACTGTTCTTATACAGTAATAGAGAATTCTCAATTTAAGCTTGAAAAACAAATTGCATTAAAAGGTAGCCGAGTCACCGTACAGTCCCCCAAGGCAGCACTTCACCTGTTTCAAAGCTCCTTGCAGTATGAATTGCCATCACCCTGCCAGACAGATGCATTGCAGGCAAGTGGTGTGCGCAACTGCACCAGCAACAAGGCTAGAGGGCTTTTCAATGGATTTGGTAACCTTGACTTAGGGGCCAGTGGGTTTAAATGGCTCTCAGTCGGAAGAGAAAGCTGCTCCAGACGTTGTGCTAGTGAATGTTTGAAAGGTGGCAAAACGGTCCCTGAATGGTTCCTCCTTTAGACTGTAAGGGGGGATTGATCGCCTGTGTGAATCATCATCATCATCATTTCATTTGTATCCATAGCTGAAACTATGTTCAAGGTGGCTTACAACGTGACGAGATTTACACAATTACCAACATAACAAAAGTCATAAGCAATAAATAAAACTCATCAAAAATACACAACCAAATGGAAATAATTATTAAAAGAAATACTTAGAGAGTCAGTGTCCACAGTCATGGCCTAGATGAACCCTGACTTGGTCTAAAGCAACTTTGAATGTTCCTCCATTTTTTAAACGCAGGCACGCAATCCTCCCCCTGCAGTCTGAAGTGGTGCAGTCCAAGAACAGGTTTACTGCCACTTCTGCTGTATATTGTGTGAACTAGGTAGCAATCGGACTGATTGAAACGTGGATTTCCCCTACTCTTTCCATCCTTTTTGTTACACGGAGTGGAGATCTTAGTTTGTATCACTATGAATGTTGAACCAGTGGTAGTTCATGCTATACTAACCCACATAGTGTTAATTTTATGCATATGCTGGCTTCAAATGACTTGTGCATGCATGTTGATTGTGACTTAGAAAAAAGATAATCCAGGTTTGCAAAAAAACAACAACCCACAACCATGCTTTACTATACACATGACCTCCTTTTTAACAATTCTTTTAACTGTCATGCTGTCTTTCCTTGTTTCCCCCTATTTCCCCCCTTTGTCTTCACCCATCAAACAGTGGTGGTACGAGATTTACAGAGCATGTGGGTGAATCCTTCCTTTGACATACAGGTGTGGCACAAAGACTGTGGCCGGGGTCTTCTGTGGCTGTGACCTGGTGAACTGGCTCGTGGAAGTTGGCCTTGCCTTAGACCGTGGGGGAGCTGTGGTGTATGGAGAAAGACTGGTGAAAGGAGGCATCATCCAGCACATTGCCGATGAATTTGAGTTCCGGGACGAGCAGTTGTACTATCGCTTTGTGCCTAGGAGATGTGTGGCAGTAGAAAGCCATGGAAATGAGGATGCACTTTGAAGCTAGCCAAAAAAGAGTTGCCTCAACTCTTTCCTGACCCCTAGTTCTCACGCTCTTCTGTGATGTTCTCTTAGTGATATGGTTCTCCTTGTGTCCTACCCAAAGAGAATTAACGTCTCATGTGTTGAATACTGACTAATGAGTCATTTCAGGGAATTATTTAAAATATTTTTGATTTTTGACCTATGAACCGCTTCCCAATAGTTTCCTTGCCTGTGCAAACAGTACTCTGCAAAAGTCTGTACTTGAGGAAAGTGTTGTGTTCTCCAGTTTAATTCTGTTTTTGAATTGTGATGCACTGGCAAAACAGCAAGGGATAGTTACTCAACACATTTTGGCCAGTCTGTTACTCCCTTTTGAACATTAAATCCTCTGTTTGTGCTGACATAAATGAGACTGTGAAGATTGTTGTGGTGTCTGAGGATTAGAATTGGGAAATAGCAGATTTTTGCCATTAGCAGTTCTTGGGTGAACAAGCCGATCATTTTAAAGAATGAAAAGGTAGACTGCAATCCTGTGTGCCATCAAGCTGCTCAAATTCAATTGAAATCAGTGGGATTTTAAGGCAGCCTCTGTGCAGCACTTGCAGCCTAAGCATGATTTGTTTTCCTAGCCTCATAAATTGCTCTGAAACAAGAGGTTGGCTTATAACTTCTGAACATTGAGCCATTTGTTTTTAACAAACCTTAAAGTAATAAACAGATTCTGATGTCTGTGAGGTTGTGGTTATTTTGCACTTCTAAATTAGACCAATAGCCTATAAAGACCAAATACTTGAATTAGATTTGGGTACTACTTTCAATATGCAACTTAAATGAGTTATTTAAGTTTGTTGGATAACCTTGTAATACTGATTTGAAGGACTCTCTCGTCTTCACAAGGCCCCTTAATGGGTGATGCTCACTTAAATGCCAATAAACCCTCTCATTAGTTTCTCTCTTTTTTATGGTTGTCTACATAAAGTAACACTGTATTTTAAATAATGCCCTTTATTTTTTAAGTAGATACTAGAGTGGTCATTTTATCGACCATTTTATATAAACTTAATTCACTGGAAGGAACAATTTGCCATGTGACTTTTGTTTCTTCACCTACAGTCATGAGATCTGTTATGTTGCCTAACCCTTTTTTGCCAGATGAGTGATGTGTGTGCTTTATTTTTATAGAGGTATGGATCGAAAGAGTATTCTTGGACTTGTGGCCGTTCGCCTCTGATAGTAGGGAGTCGGGGCTAGCAGCCTAGTCAACATTTCAGTAGCCACAACTGCATGAATATGCATGCAAAATGTACGAATAAACCACTTCCTTTTGCTGTCAAACGTGTAATCTATTTTATGTCAACCTTACACATGAACTGACAGGCCTGTTTGTATATGTTACAGAAGAAACACTATCTTCCACAATGTAGAAAACTGTGTTTGGTATAAAGTATGGTTTTAATCTGATCTGCCGCTGAAACGACAGGAATGCATTACAATTACATTTCTGTGGCCAATCATGCTTTTGTCTAATTTGGGAGGAATTATGGAAAAATGTGTTTTGGAAGTAGTTGGCATTTCTGCATTTTTGTGCTCCAGTTTCTCAATAAATCCAGATGTTTAACCTTGGTGTTCTGTACATTCCTTTTCAGTTGATTAAAGTTGCTGCCTACAGAATTAAGTCCAACATAATTATGTACTTGCTATTTTGCACACTCACCCAGTAGTTATTTCCAGAGGAGGGGGAGTTTTCTCACAAAGGTGACACAAAGCAAAACATTAAAACCCAAGTATAACAACCAATTACAGAGCACTCTTGGTTCTCTACACAGAATTGCAATTTATTTTTTGGCAGTAGAAGCGTTTGTGTTTTAACACAGCAGTGCCATTTCCTACATATATAAACTGAAAAAGTAGCATCTTTCGATTATTTTGAATTTCTGTTGCATAATTTTAGCTTTATAGCGTACCTTTGTTTGAAGAAACAGTAAACAGGCCCCTCCATTGAAGTGAGGGCATCGAAAACAATCATTTACAGAACCTTAGTGGCTTTCACCTGAAATAGCTAAGAATTTATTCCTTAATTTTCCATTGGTTCATTTAGGATTCTACCACAGTGTTTCCCAACCTTTTTTGGGCAAAGGCACACTTGTTTGATGAAAAAAATCTCGAGGCACACCACCATTACAGCCCCGTGACGTCAGCGCGCAGCGTCACGCCGGGAGGGACGCACGAAAGTGTAACTTTCAATTTTTTCCCCTCCCCCTTGCCGGGGAACCTCCAAGCTTTGGGGGTGGGGGGGGGAGGAGGCAGCAAAGCGAGGGACTGAGGGACTCCTCCAACGACAAGGGTTGGGGAAGAAGAGAAAGGGCTATTCCGCTCCAGTCACGGGAGGGGAATATGTACTGGCCCAACTGGTGTGCGGTCTTCGGAAAGCGGGGTGCGGGAAGGAAGCCTAGGCTCAGGGTCATAGAATCATAGAGTTGGAAGAGACCACAAGGGCCATCGAGTCCAACCCCCTGCCAAGCAGGAAACACCATCAGAGCACTCCTGACATATGGTTGTCAAGCCTCTGCTTAAAGACCTCCAAAGAAGGAGACTCCACCACACTCCTTGGCAGCAAATTCCACTGTCGAACAGCTCTTACTGTCAGGAAGTTCTTCCTAATGTTTAGGTGGAATCTTCTTTCTTGTAGTTTGGATCCATTGCTCCGTGTCCGCTTCTCTGGAGCAGCAGAAAACAACCTTTCTCCCTCCTCTATGTGACATCCTTTTATATATTTGAGCATGGCTATCATATCACCCCTTAACCTCCTCTTCTCCAGGCTAAACATGCCCAGCTCCCTTAGCCGTTCCTCATAAGGCATCGTTTCCAGGCCTTCCTTTGATCATTTTGGTTGCCCTCCTCTGGACACGTTCCAGTTTGTCAGTGTCCTTCTTGAACTATGGTGCCCAGAACTGGACACAGTACTCCAGGTGAGGTCTGACCAGAGCAGAATACAGTGGCACTATTACTTCCCTTGATCTAGATGCTATACTCCTATTGATGCAGCCCAGAATTGCATTGGCTTTTTTAGCTGCCGCGTCACACTGTTGGCTCATGTCCACCGGGCGCAAGGTCCACCGACCTCGGCGGAGAAAGGCAACAACCGGAGCCGATGACCAGTGGCGTAGCGTGGGTTGTCAGCACCCGGGGCAAGGCAAGTAATTTGCGCCCCCTAACCCGTGGATTTTAGCACTCGAGTGCGAGCGCGCCCCCCCCAGATGTTGCGGCCGGCCCCCCTGCACCCCCCCATGCTACGCCACTGGGGCTGGGGGTGAGCGAAGGAGCCAAGGACCCCCCCAAAGGCTCAGCAGGAATTTATTAAATTTATTATTTGCGGAGCCCCCGCGGGCCGAGGCAGCCGAAGCCCCCTCCCCGCCCCCCCCTCTCCTTGGGCTGTAGGTGGAGCCCACGCTCCGAGGCGCTCCAGATCCGGGCTTGGCGAGCGCCTCTCCTCCTCCCGGCCGGGTCCGGGGGCTTCCAGCCGCGCTCCGTCCTCGCCCGCCCCCCCCCCCGCGGCTGAGACTTGCGCTGAGAGCCGGAGCCAGCGGCGCCCCCTTCCGCCGGGAGACCCTCGCCCGCCCACCGGCTTCCTCTCGGAGGGTTTTGGGGAGCGCAGGGCGCGGCGAGGCCCCTCAGAGCTCTCCTCCCTCCCAGTCGGCAGAAGCAGCCGCCGCCTATGGCGTCGGCGTCGGGGTGCGGAGGCTGCCCGTGCCCGGCCAGGCGTCGGTGGCAGCGTCGGCGCTGCTGCAGCGGCTGCTCCTCCTGCGAGCAGTGAGTGGAGCGCAGCCGCAGCGGCGGCGGGGGGCGCGCACGCCCTAGGGCGCAAGGCTGGTGGTGGCGGCGGGGAGCCCGGCGGAGGAAGGAACTTGTCCCTTCCCTCTGGACTCGCGCCCCCCCATGTTGCGCCCGGTGCGGCCGGCACCCCTGGCACCCCCCACGCTACGCCACTGTGAGGGGCGCCGCGTCAAGGGCGCCGGCGGGCGCAGCGGCAGCTCCTGTCAGGGCACGAGGCGGGCCCGGCGCCTCTCCCCCACCCACCCTGTCCGCCCACCCATATCCCGCTCAGGAGGGGCCGGTGGGCTGGCAAGCGCCTCACAGCAGCAGCACCAGAGAGGGAGAGAAGTCCGCCTCCCGCTGCCGCCGCCTCTTCATCCCCAGCAGCAACTTCCCTGCCCGGCTCCCCGCCGCCGCCGCCGCCTCCTTCTCTCCCTGCTTTGCAGTAGCAGCCGCCGCCGCCGCGGCACACCAGGCAACATCTCGCGGAACACTAATGTGCCGCGGAACACCGGTTGGGAAACACTGTTCTACCATTATTCTTAGCCTAAGTTCAACACACGTGGCTACATAAGGGCACTTAAAATCTGTATCCACCACAGCCAAATTTCAGCCATAGCAAAGATCTAACAAAAGCAGTGAAACTTTAGTCACCATTACTAAAGCGTGTTGCTTTCAATGGGACTTCGTGCAGTTAACTTTTGTAGGACTTGTTCTTCCCTAGCAAGTCAATTTAAAAAATTAACCATTCACAATTACATTCTGGGGTGTTTCTTTTTAAAGTCTCCTACTTGAAGTGGCAGGACTTCTAACTTCAAGTAAGCAGACTGCACTAGAAAGCATCTTGAGGGTCAATATATTAATATAATATTACACTATAAAGTGAAACTAGTATTTTTCACATTACCGACTTTCCCTGAGTTAAGAGAGAAAGCCATGCTAGAATAGGCCCCTTCCACATTTAAATACTGAGCAATCACAACTGCATTGGTTCAGCTGGGAAGTTTCACACTTGCTGCCCCCTTGAAATTTCACAGTGCATGTCTTCTTATAGTAAAGCAATCCAATGGGGGATGGAAGAAAATTTTGGCAGAAGTCCCATCTCCACAACCCTACCAGCCTGGGCAGAAGGTGGTGGTAGTGCTACGATGGGGAGAAACAAACGCCAGTTTCAGTGCAGAATATACAAAGAGGAAATATCTCCATCATTAAAGGCCAGTATTTGGAGGTTGCTCAGTGTGGCATTTGCTCACTCATTATGGAGATGTCGTACTTTGGGGGGGGGAGAGAAAGGGTTAATAGGCTGACCAATAAGAAATCCCAGGGGCAGAGCCTAACTTTAAGGCTCAACACAGGGGCTTTGGCAGTTACCGTATTTTTCGCTCTATAAGACACACTTTTTCCCTCCTAAAAAGGGGAAATGTGTGTGTGTGTTATGGAGCGAATGCAGGCTATGCAGCTATCCCAGAAGCCAGAACAGCAAGAGGGATCGCTGCGCAGCGATCCCTCTTGCTGTTCTGGCTTCTGGGCTTCAGAATATTTTTTTCTTGTTTTCCTCCTCCAAAAAACTAGGTGTGTTTTATGGTCTGGTGTGTCTTATGAAGCGAAAAATACGGTAGCTTGGTTGGTTTCTTGTGGGTGGGAGGCATAGGATAGTGAGTTAGAGACAGAGAGTGAATCGGATTACAGTGTTTCAAAGTATTCAAAGTATTGTTTGCGTTCACAATAAACTGGAATCTTTGTTAATACAATACAACCTGAGTCTGAATATATTACCGGGGAAACCTGGTTGGTGGCAGTGGAAGAGATAAGCCGAGGTGGTGCAAGGTCAATAGTCCGTGGAACGACCGGGGGCCCTGTGCAAACGCCACAGTCAGTTACACTCCTGAAACCTAATTCAAAATTTCCTTGCTTTCTAGTCTTGACTATACCCATATTATAATATGCTATTTGGCCAGAGCTGGGGATGTGCAAAGAACAAAACCACTTTGAGCAGTAAAACAAATTACCCAGTATTATCTTACGCATATGCCTGGATTTCATCATCTGTGCAGTTTGAGAAAAGATTAACTGCTTGATCAGTATCAAGGCTCCCGTTCTGTAGAATATGCTCCATTTCCTTAATCTTCTCTTTCTCCAACTTTCGGATCCGTTCCAATATCATGTCCCCCTTTTCCTATTAAAAAAAAAATTAAATTAAACTAACAATGTAATGCTTGAACATATGGACTCTTCTAAAAGTTATTTCATCCACCATTAAGAGGTTCATATCAGCCTACCCATATCTGGTGAAGACCTACACAAAATGTAGCAGTGCATTCCCTAACGGAAGTGCTGCTTCTGTTCACAGGCTTCCAGCAGACTAGGAAGCAGCCTATTGCTGTCTGGAAATCATAGGGAATAACTTTCTTGTCTGTCCCACTATGTTAGAGTTAAAGGACTAGGTTAAGGGTGGGCAGCTAAGTGCTTTACTGCTACTTCTTTGGGGGGAGGGGAATTTTATTAGCCTTCGAGCACACATTTCTTGCTCCCTACCCCCTAAACTAATGTCTGTTCCTAGGATATTATAATCTGCTGTTGTAGGAGTTCAAGCAGGTTAATTTCCTCTCTGCCAGTTTGTTTAACTGATGGGTTCAAAATTACGGGGCTCAACTGTGCTTGGTGATAAGACACCTGCTAGGCTCAGACTGTCTACATGACTTCTAGCTGCTGCAAAATAGGCAGCTCTGACCTATGGGCCAAATTTGGCCTGGCAGGGATCCGAAAGCTCACCCACCTGACCCATACCTGATGTCATCTGTTGCGTTGGGTGCCGACATAGCTACAAAGGAATAATCGGGGGGGGGGTGAAAGTGATCTCCCACCACTCATCAGTGCATCTTGCTCTGATAACCTTGAAGTGGTTTGCATTGAAACAGCTGCCAAAATGGAGCTCTTTCCCTCCTGTGTTAGTGGCGCTTTCAGTGCAAAGCACTTCACGCTAGTGAAGCAAGTTGTGCTCCTACTGCCTATTAGCTTGTGGGCAGGGAGTTCAAGCCTGCTTGAAGGTGGCATTTCCCAAGTTGGCTGTAGGAAAGCACTGCACAAGGGACTTTGGCAGGTTTACCTGTCAAAGTTGGCCTGCAGGAGAGGAAACTGATAAAGATTTGGCCTGCTAGGTGGAGAAGATTACCCATCCCTGGTGGAAAAAATTTTTAGCTCCACCTCTACCTGCAAGAAAACAGTGTACAGTCGTACCTTGGAAGTCGAACGAAGTCTGTTTGAATTCCAAAACGTTTGACTTCCAAAGCATGGCTTCTGATTGGCTGAAGGAAGTTCCTGCAGCCAATCAGAAGCCATGGAAGCCCCGCCGGATGTTCGGCTTCCAAAAGAACATTAGAAAACCGGAACACTCACTTCCGGTGTTCAGTTGTTCGGGACCCGAAACGTACGACTTCAAGGGTGTTCGAGAACTGAGGTACGACTGTTATTTTGTTGCAAGACTGGTGTAAGTCACACAGTTGCATTGTCCACCCACAGCCTGCCACATAAAGATAGTGGGCTGAACTGGCAAACATCAATACTCTCTTCCCTCTCTCCCTGGGAGCAGACTTTCAAAGAGTATTTGAGTTTAGGTGGCTTTGCATGAGCATAGGAAACAAGATCAAGTAGCATATGCTAATATCCTCTTGACCTTTCAAGAACTATGTTTTGGCCCTGTGACTGAAAGGTTAGATGCCAGAGCAGTCTCTCTCCATCCGGAGACTGAAGTATTAAATTACATCAGCATGATTGCAATGGAACAGATTACATAAATCCTTACACTGATTTTAATTTTAAAGTCCATACCCCTCATACCCCCAGAGATTTAACTTAAATTAACACACCTTAGAAGACTCCATCACAAGAGCTGCACTTTCATGTTTTCTGTAGAGTTCGTGTCTTCTGTCTGGCTTTGTCTGAAATCGTGGTTGCTTTTTAACTGTATCCTCGGGACCAAACACTGGGGAGCTGGTTTTTAGCAACTGCGTAATATTTGGCACAAAAATGAAAGGTTTAAAGACAGACCTAGAGAATAAATTGAAACACCAAGTGAAAAGAAAATTAGCAAATGCACAATGAATGCTGCTTTCCACCACGGACGTGAAGGTTAAACTATTTCCTAGCATACAGCCATTACAATATCTTATCTGTTTACTCCATACAGTCTACAAGTGAGTTCTTTGAGCTACTCGTTTTAATCACATGTACTCAAGAGTATTTTCTATTAAAATCAGACAGGATGCACTGTCCAATAATGGTTGCAGTGCTTAGAACAAAGAAGAGAGATTCTAGCACGTTTCAAGACTACCTTTTCTCAAGGAAAATCTTTCATGTTTCCTCATAAGACTTGATGAAGCCTCACATATTTCAAAATGCATTCAGCTTCTTCAGGAAGAAGGGTGGGATGCAATTTGACTAATAAATATGACAGTCCACATGTAACACTTAAGCCCAAGGTATGGCCTGGTAAGAATGAGCAAGAATATGGGTACTCAGGGAGCAAATTGTGGCTGCTTCGCTCCTCCTCTGGTCCTACTGCGACTGCTGCATTACCCAGAGCTAAACTATGGTATCGTGTTACACATGAACCCAGGGTCATAGTTTATCTCCAAACAAACAACAAGCTGTAACCAAAGTTTGTTCTTGGTTTACCCTTTGTGGTTTGTCTGGGGGCTGTTTTTGCATGCAATATTAAACCAAACCAGAGGAGAAAAATGGTCACAATTTTCTCCTTGGGTACCTGTATGCTTGCCCATTCTCACTAAGCTTAAAGGTAAAGGGACCCCTGACCCTTAGGTCCAGTCATGGCCGACTCTGGGGTTGTGACGCTCATCTCGCTTTATTGGCTATCCGGGTTATGTGGCCAGCTTGACTAAGCCGCTTCTGGCGAACCAGAACAGCACACGAAAACACCATTTACCTTCCCGCCGGAGCGGTATCTATTTATCTACTTGCACTTTGACATGCTTTCGAACTGCTAGGTTGGCAGGAGCAGGGACTGAGCAACGGGAGCTCACCCTATCACGGGGATTCGAACCGCGAACCTTCTGATTGGTAAGTCCTAGGCTCTGTGGTTTAACCCACAGCGCCACCCGCGTCCCTCACTAAGCTTAGTGTTATGTCAAAACAAGGCCTTAATCTCCAGCCCTTTTTTGTGCTTGAGTTTTTTATGGCTCTTCTTGGTCCTGTCTCTGTGTGTGAAATAGTTTCATCCATTATGGATTATATTTTGGACTTCAGTGAAATTTGGGGTTTTATGTTTAACATTGTTAAAGGTCGATCATGAATAAGTTGCTCAAAGGAAAGTTAACAGGGCTAGGAATTTAGTCTTTATGATAAATTGTTAAGAGTCACCTGTCAGGGTCTGGAGTTCCAGTGAAGAAATGGATGCAAGGGAGGCTGGTTTCCTGAGGAAGTATGGAAACCATGCTACCAGTGGTCATAAAGCCTCCTTCCATATTAATGCCGCTCTCCTTATCCCGAAGGATTGCCATCATTGTCTCAGCTGTTATTGTGCCTATGCAAGACAAAACATTATTCATTTCATATGCATATTTAACATAGTTTACTTAATAGCACCAATTCAAAAACCACATGCATGTCTGTTTCAAACTAAGGAACAATTAGGAAAATGATAAGTGAAACATGAATGACAGAATCAAAGAGGGCTCCACCATTACACTGTCCAAAAATATTCTTTCCCATGGGTGCTAAAAATTAGTGTTGAAACATTAAAGAGTCATCCAGTTTCAAGCCTCACAAGATTTTCCAGAAATGTTCCAGAGAGAAATCACTTCTTTCAACATTAAGCGCCCTTCTGTATGAGACAAAGAATTCATCTGTCTGGCATCCTATCTCAAATAGTGGAAAATCAGCCTCTGAAAAGCTAAAAATAATACATGAATGGTATCATATCTGTGGCAGTGAATAGTTTTAATGAATTACGCACTGTGGGGTTTGTTTGGTTTTTTTGTCTCCTAAATTTGTTGTCAGTTAATGATACTGGATAATTCAAATTCTAGTGTAATATAAAAGTTGTTATATACTCCTTAACCTTTTTTGCTAGACTAAAAGAAAACTGACCAAATGTTTCAGCACAAAAAGGTGTTGCAACCTCTTAATCTTTTTTGTTGTCATTTTCTGTACCCGCTAGAGAATGGGAAGTTATTTTTCTCTGCAACGTTTTTGGATTCCCTGAAGAATCTCACAAAACAATGGATGGCTTTAAACTTTTAAAATATGTATTTCTCATGAAATACTGCTTTATGACATATTTAGATGTTAAATTTAATACTGGGGAAACAGAAATAAAATGAAATGGGTGGCTACATGTCAATTTACTATGTATGGCCTTCTGTGCTCCATTTCCCATCCCAGTCAGCCAGCCAGCGTAAAAGGGGGTTTTGCAAATAAAAATGAAGAGAACCATACTAAATTTGTTGGGGAACTACCACTCTGCAAGGAAACAAAGTTTCCCTAAATGTGGAAAACTTTTCTCAGTGCTCTGGGGAAGAATAGAAATGTAAGGTGATATCCAATTAAACAATTAAGCTAGCGCAAGGATTAGATTAGGACTTCCTCTTTCTCCTCTCCCTGCTGTCCCCAAATCTGCTCCAAGAGTTGGGAGAAACCCCACAAGAGGTTTAGGGAGGAGAGAGGAAGAACATTCCACTGTACAAGAAGAAATCCTTCTGCTGATTGAACAAGTTGCATGGTGCTGCGTTGAATATTTTTTTTATAAAAAACCCCCAAACTCAAATTCTAGTTGGAATTAAGCACACAGATGCGAAGCAGTGTATTTAAAATAGAAAATTAGATACAATGCATTTTAAAGATAATAGCAATAAAGCATGAAGAAGTACTGAGTAGAAAAGGAGCTTGCACATCTCTTTTGGCAGGGAGTGAAGTGTGTGGGAAGAGATCCATCCATGCTCTTCTCTTTCAGGGTGCTTACTGTTAACTCTCAAAACCATGAAGTCTCTATTATCTGTACTGCAAGGGTTGTATTTCAATGAGGTCTCTAGCAACGTTTGGTTTAGCTGCTTGTCAGAACTCAAAAGTCGGAAGGGCTTCTGGCTACTGTCCCAGGAGAAATGGGGCAGAATAAGCAGGAGCATTAGAAAGTAAGACTGGGGAAGGGAGTGCTCCAGAAGAATAAAAGGTTTTGATGGAAAGAGGGAGGACAAGTCTAATAGGCGAATGAAAACAGAGAGAGAAAATTGGGCTAGAGGAGAACTACACATGGCCAAGCACTGAAAAGGTGAGAAAGGCTGGGATTTATCTATTCACTAGAAATAAGCAGCCAAATACTTGGCTACCGGCCTCTTTGATCTGTATGAATGCATCTATCTCTGTTTTATGCTATTTACATAAAAATACTTTTCCACTTTAGATTTCCATCATTGCCCACCAGGTAGTTCGGAATACCCAGTGGCCATTTTACAATAACAATCTCAATATTAAAAATAAATCCTCTGCACCAATTTTGGAAAATCTTTTTTGAAAAAAACACCTGAAAGTACTGAATTTTGTTAGAGACTAGTGCGTTACAATAATGATTCATTCAAGGTATGTAGAAAAGAAACAGCTTAAACTGCATCTGACTGATAACTTGAACACCTGGTGCGACTTAAAAATGGTTGAGGTAAGTATCTGAAAAATGGGGATTTAGAATGAAGGCACTGATAGAACCTCAACAAGGCCATCACATTAGACAGGTATTAAACATGTTCAGTATTCAGAACCTACAATTCCCCAAATGAATGTAGGATTTGCATGATCACAGGGGTATTATAGCTTCAAGTAATCCACTAGGAAGCACAGAATAACTGCTACAATTGGGGGCGGCAGGGCTCAGCAGAATGAATATTGAAACAGAGGAGTGCAATTTTATTTGGGCTTATGTTCTTATTTTTTCAACACATGACTATACATGAAATTTTGATACACGTGTAATAAGCAAACAATACCAAATGATGGCTGTTATAAGGATCACAAAAATTGGGGGATATTCAAATGTGCTCTTCTAGTACCCTGTGGTGTTATATTCATTTTTCTAAAGCCAAAGTCCTCAAAGCATGAGATGAGCCATTCTTGAAAAGATGAGTCCTGTCTGGCCTTCAGGACTCTGCAGACCACACCCTGCACAAGCCCTGCTCTACACTCCCCCTGAGCACTTATGCCTGACTGAAATGTGTCCTGGAAATCTGATAATGCTCCTTGCTTTCCTGAATGAAGAACAGAGAGGGATGTCTCACGTGTAGAAACTAGCCTGCTGTAGAATTCACATATGTTGCTCTGCCCACTGACCTTGTCCAGCCTGTCACCAGCATGTGGCCCCAGGAAGTGGCCCAGAGGGTAATGTCACTCTTGGGCTACAAAGGAGTTCCCTGTCCCTGAGCTAGGGGCAAGTATGGCCTAAATTGCTCAGCTGTTGTATAGGCCTTGGCTGAGCCAAAAAGCCAACTACAGAATCCTGTTCAAGCCGACAAGCTTTTTTACCTTGTTCTTTCCGGGTTTGTAGCAAGATGGTGCAAATGCTATTTTTCTATCCTAGTAGAATCACTGTAAAAATTCCATGTGGTTCTTGGATCCCAAGCCTGCTACAAACATCTTCTAAGCATTTAAAGTCACTCATGACTCAACAAAGGTACCTTCGTGTTTCTTCAGCAGTTTATAGCCTTCACAGTATCTGCCTCTGGTAGTAGTCATCCTGGCAGTATTCACATATGAAAAGGTTGCAGCAAAATCAAATTCTTTTTTTCCATCCCACCAGCCTTTGCTTATAGCATAATTCCTTATTTCTGGATGCTCACGCTCAATCTTGGTTGTTATTGATAGCTGATTGGAAATATTCCGTACTCCTTCTGTTGAAAAGTGGTGAAAACAGTATCTTAGACTGCAATAATAAACCTACATACTAGGGAGTGAGGCCTGCTGAACTATAGTGGGACTTTTTCATGCATAGGATTGTACTGTTAACCTTAATACCCAAGAGGCCCCTTAGCATGACCCAAAAGGCCTCCCCAAACTAGTAGGCATTTGGGTTTAGGGTCAATAACATGCTCATAGGAAACAGTTGTCTCCGCCCCTCATTCCCCAGCACTTGTGGTATTTATTGTCCCATACAGCACACATTCTATTAATATATGCATTTTTGTCTCCATTGTTTGGTTGGAGAACTGAATGGCAAAATTTGAATAAATACAAATTTCATGGGGTGGCTATGTTTCAGTTCTCGCATAGTTTCAGAAAGTGCAAATTTGATATGATTTTGCTTTGAATGCGAACTGAATCGAATTTCTCCCCCTTCCCTAGTGTTGGCCCTGCAAATATGGAATTCGGTTTCATGTGGGATCAGGCTAGGCTCATCCCTAGTTAGTTTCAAAACAGGCCTAAAGACCCTTTTTTTTTACTGTGGCCTTTAGTGGTTAATGTTATAAGGAGTTGTCGAATGGTGTTGTAGTATTGTTTTTGCGCTGGCTCTTTAGCAATAGTTTGCTATAGATGTATTAAATTGTTTTAGCTTGTATTTTATTATGATTTTGATGTGTATTCTGTAAGCTGCATGGAGAAGACTTTTTTTTTCTTGAAAAGCAGGTTGTCAATCAGCTAAATAAAAAATGAATTTCTTCACCTCTCCTCTTTAGCATGTTTCAGACATTGCAACTGAACTATGGTTTGAACCTCACGCTTGTGCTCTTCCTCTTCCCTTTACATGTTCCAATACCCTCCTTCACTTTCTGGTTCATGATAGCTATAGTTTGCTGTAGCAAATTGGGCAAATTATAGTTTGCCATACTTGACTCCAACACAGAATTGCAGTAACCAAGACTTGCTCAATTCCAACATCAAAGCATACATACTTCCTGCTTTGAAATAATTAAAGAAGGGATTTGAAGTACATGATGGGAAGAGGAAGCCTGCAAGCCCAAAGCTTGGAACCAGCAGTCAATAATGTTTGCCACAACATCTGAAGCTGACCTTCTTGTATTTATTCTTATTATTACTACTACCACCATCATCCACCAGTTTCATCTTGTTTTGTTAAATCTCTGCTGGCAGATAAGAGATAAACAGTTCCTCATTTGAATGAGGAACTAAGCTGCCTTTCTATGAAAACACACTAGCACCAGTTATACCACTTTTATCACCAAAATTTTCTATGTTGAAGCAGCACAAACAGGTTATATACACTTATAATCTGAGAAGAATTTAATTAAGTGAAGATGATTGTCCTTACCTTCTACTTTCTCTGCAGCCCAATACTTTCCAGAGGTTTCCAGTATCCACGCTTCCTTTCTGTCTGCTATCAGAAAACTATTATGGTATGTAAATGCCATATGACTCTCCATACAGTTTCCACCTTGACCATACTTGTCCAGCAAGTCAACAATGACACCAACAGCTTTTTCTGCGGTATTAGCTCTTTCCAGTCCAAGCCTAAAACCATACAGAAGTGTTAGCTTTTGGGGAAATTCTTATGATTGTTGAATTTGCATATTATTGCACATTTACTCAGTGAGTTAGAAAGTTGCCCATGTATCTCATGTCCTGGATAAGGCTTATTACAGTGGGTGCTAATTTAAGTTTTTAATGATGAAAATACTTATTCCCACAGAGAGCCTGTGAGCACCCACAGAACTGTCATTCTCCACCTAGTATGCATGCCACTCCCCAGTGGCGTAGTGTGGGGGGTGCAGGGGGGGCCGGCCGCACCGGGCGCAACATCTGGGGGGGGGCGCGCTCGCAGCTCTCTGCCCCTACCTGGCTCACTCACTCTCTCTCACTGCCTTGCCCCGGGTGCTGACAACCCACGCTACGCCACTGCCACTCCCTACCCCCTTCCCAAAGCCTAAGCATAAAAAGATGGTTTAGAACAGGTTAGGAAGGCAAGTGTGGCAGCTTAGTCTTGACTGCCTTTCGGCAGGGTGCTAGAGCTACAGTTGCATCAAAGCAGATGTTTCTTACACTCAGCCATAAGTTGTGATTGACTAGACTGGCAAAATGAAAACCAGTGGTGACAGCTTGTTAGACCATTGGACTATAGGTCCTCCATTGAGGGAAGAGGTATGCTTGAGATTTCTTTGCTTAAAAACTGATCTGAGCCAAATCTAGAGTGAAGAAAGCTCTTACAACACTAAGATTTTTGCACTAGTAAATAAACACTTAGAATGAGAGGCCTACTTCCAGAGAGCAGCATCACAAAACAGGGTGTTCTGCTGCCACTACATAGATGCCAATACATATGAGTAGATCACCAAAAAGTATGTGTCTGTCTTATTAATTTTAGTATTAAGCGGGATTTTCCCAGCAATACTGTTTCTATTGTTTCTTGATATCAGCAGGGGGTCTTTCTAAGAAGCTAGTAGTCTTCATAGTATCTACACTAGGCAAAAAGAATCTGTTCCATAATCAGGTAACACATTTGTTTTCCTGTCTAGCAACAGCAGTAGACCTAGCATTCCACTTCAAGGCCTAATCTATCCAAAGTCCTAAAGGTAAAGGTCCAGTCCTGGCCGACTCTGGGGTTGCGGCGCTCATCTTGCTTTATTGGCCGAGGGAGCCGGCGTACAGCTTCCAGGTCATGTGGCCAGCATAACTAAGCTGCTTCTGGTGAACCAGAGCAGTGCACGGAAACACCATTTACCTTCCCGCCGGAGCGGTACCTATTTATCTACTTGCACTTTGACGTGCTTTAGAACTGCTAGGTTGGCAAGAGCAGGGACCGAGCAATGGGGGCTCACCCCGTCACGGGGATTCGAACCGCCGACCTTCTGATCAGCAAGTCCTAGGCTTTGTGGTTTAACCCACAGCGCCACCCGCCTCCCTTCCAAAGTCCTATGCTTGATCTATTCCTTTAAATGACTGCATCATATGTGAAACAGCAACAACTTGCTTGTGTGAAAGTGTAGGCGATTGCTTACACAAGCTATCAAATGTTGATTAAAGACAATCACGAGGGATCAGTTCATGTGTGAATCAGTCCATCAAGTCTCGCTTTCTACATTTCAAAATTGCATTTTATACAGCTAATTTAAATCGTATTGTCTGCAAACCTGACAAGATCCATGCCTAGGAGGGCTTCATCGTCACAGACTTCCTCCTTCCCCCACACTGCTTCATTCCCAATGCAGACTCCATGCTCATTGGCCCCCATTTCAGCACCCCAGAGCCAGGAGGGGCGACTCAGAACAACGGCATAAGTTTCTGGTGCTTGTTCAATTTCTATATAAGTACACTGCAATAAAAAGAATTCCAGAAAACACATAAGAAAAACACTTCCTGAATTCTACACAATGGACTGGATTTAAACTGATGTGAGTGGACTTCCCAACTTTTTGCCTCCCAAAAAGGCTCTCCAAATTGTTGGGAGACAATCGAATAGCACTGAGTGTGAGATGGGAGCCTGCAATATCAGGAGGGAATAAGTAAAAATCAGATTCTTCAAATTCCAACCCAGTATTTTTACGGAGCCTAGTATTATTTTGAAAGCTAAACCACAGCTTAGGGGTAGAGCAAATGCCTTGCATGCAAAAAGTTCCATTTTTAATGCCTAGCCTCTCCACATGGGGCAGGGAAATTCCCATCTAAAATCTGGCAGAGCCACTGAGTTAAATGTAGGCAGTACAGAACAAGACTGGCCTGTGGTGTGACTTATACAGCAATGCCCTGTCTTCTTAAGAGATACTATGTCCACTCCCGCTAAACTTCATAACTGACATTTGTGAATGGCTACCAATTCCGGTCAGTTGATGCATCAGCATGAGATTTTTCTTTGGCGGAACTAAATATTTGTTCCACTACTTTACCCTTTAAAGTGGGTCACCTAGTTTTTTTTGGGGGGGGGAATAAAGGGAAAAAAATATATCCCCCCCCCAGGCACGGGGCTGGGGCGGGGGAAGCCCGAGCTTCCCCCGACCCCAGCCACCAGAACAGGCTGCTATCCGCAAGCCATGGGAGCCCGGCGGGAAGTTGCGCCGGGCTCCCAAGGTTTGCGGAGAGCTGCCTGAAGCCCGGGTTGTGCTCCGCTGTGCTCCCCAGGTTTTGGGCTTCAGGCTGCTATCCGCAAGCCTAGGCAGCCCGAGGGGAACTCCCGCCGGTCTCCCAAGGCTTGCGGATAGCTTCCTGAAGCCTGGAGAGCGAGAGGGGTCGGTGCGCACTGACCCCTCTCGCTCTCCAGGCTTCAGCGAAAGCCTGCATTCGCCCCATAGGACGCACACACATTTCCCCTTCATTTTTGGAGGGGAAAAAGTGTGTCCTATAGGGCGAAAAATACGGTATATAAAAAAGCATCCTAATATGGTTGTGTTATTTTTCTAAATGCTTTTATCTTACCTCAACTTTTTCTCCTGGGTCATGACTTGCAGCAGGGAAGTACACAATCTCCTGGACTTCATCTGAGGGCCTATCTGAATTTTTTCCAAAGATGATCCTGCTGCCAGTTGTGGCTGGAGGCAGAGCCACAAAAGTATCACAGGAGGAAGGTTCAGTGATCACGGAAGCCATCCTGGAAAATTATGTAGTATGATAAATGACCAGTGAAGGAGGAAAACTATGGGAAACACTAATACTTGAATGAAAGCACAAGGTTGTATAGAATTTTATGTTCCTTTTCCCCAAATGATGGTGCCACTTATATTAACCCCACAATTCCAACTATTATGGAGAGGTATCAACATTCTGGAGATCAGATGGCCTTCCCCATAACTGTGTGCAGAATATTTGGAACCGGGGACACAAATAATCATGTGTGCACATGAGACTTTCGGAAGCATAGTCTGTTGCAGCAAAACCAATGAAAAGTCTTGTGGCTCTGTAAAAAGTGAATCAAATCCATGTGCATATAGGAATAGGATATGGGATTGTAAAATGTGGGTCTGATAAGTTATAAAATTCAATAGGTACAGTCTGTGACATTCCTATGCACATATAAAAAGAACAGTGACCATGAATAACAGCAGTAATTGGTGATAACATAACCCTCCTAAATTAGTTTCGTAAAACTAAATCTGTAGTGGGATAAAAAAACCTTGGAACTGATTTGAGTCCTAAACACCACCATCAAATTTACTGATCAACTCTATCAACAATTCAGACTTTGAGGCTCCCTTTCAAGTTGTTTGTTGTTCTTGCTGTTGTTGGGAAATGGTGGCTTTCAGGTCAGACGGTACATCGTGTGGCCTTTTGGCTCCATCAAATACATGTTTTCCTCCATCTAACCTGCCTGTTGAAGATTAACATTTGATGCATCTGACAAAGTAGCTTCTAGTCACGCTTGGACTACTGCAACGCGCTCTACGTGGGGCTACCTTTGAAGGTGACCCGGAAACTGCAATTAATCCAGAATGCGGCAGCTAGACTGGTGACTGGGAGTGGCCGCCGGGACCATATAACACCGGTTCTGAGAGACTTGCATTGGCTCCCAGTACGTTTCCGAGCACAATTCAAAGTGTTGGTGCTGACCTTTAAAGCCCTAAACGGCCTCGGTCCTGTATACTTGAAGGAGCGTCTCCACCCCCATCGTTCAGCCCGGACACTGAGATCCAGCGCCGAGGGCCTTCTGGCGGTTCCCTCATTGCGAGAAGTGAGGCTACAGGGAACCAGACAGAGGGCCTTCTCGGTAGTGGCGCCCGCCCTGTGGAACGCCCTCCCATCAGATGTCAAAGAGATAAATAATTACCTGATATTCAGAAGACATCTTAACTTCAGGGAAGTTTTTAGTATGTAACGCTGTACTGTTTTTAACACTGATTGGGAGCCGCCCAGAGTGGCTGGGGAAACTCAGCCAGATGGGCGGGGTATAAATAATAAATTATTATTATATTATTATAGTCCTAATAATAATAATAATAATAATATTTTTTATTTATACCCCACCCATCTGGCTGGGTTTCCCAGAAAAGATATGCTACCGCCCCAATAAACCTGTTGTTAAATTTGTTGCAACAAAAAACATGACATACGTTTTTGTAGACCAATATAAGTCCACAAAAACATTGTTGCTGCTGCGGCTGCTTTAGTTATTGTTGTTAAATTTGTATACCACTCTATACCAGTAGATCTCAGGACAGTCCACAACATAAAATTACAATATAGAAAGCACAAAATACATAATAATAAAACAGGCTAAAATGCCACGGGCTTCGGGATTATTATCCTGCAGTCCGGATGTTATCCAAAAAGATGAGAGGGGTTAAGAAAAAGTGGTTGTGGCACTTCAAGAGTCTTTTTTTTTAATGAAATGTGGCAGGTAATAATATCCTGTGCAGACTTGAGCTAGCCCCAGACTAACTCGGATAGCGTCCCAACATTCAAAAATTAGGTTTTACCTAATTTGAGATTACGAGAGACAGCCGCTTGTAAAACACAAGCGCAAAGAGTCACGGAAAAGATGATGTGCTTAACCAAGCTCCCAACTCCCCGTGAAGGCAAACACGCGTGTTGCGACTTCCACACGTCGTTCACCTGTGACCGTAGCGAAGGGATTGTTTACGTCTGAAGGAAACCGGTTAAGACGGCTCTTTGCTTTTTCATGTTCACGAGTGGCTACCTCCCCGGAAACCTCGTTTGAGGTTTCAACTGTCTGTTGGGATATATCTGTTTGGGGACTCGGTCGGCATTCATTCACACGTGCTGGGTCAGACAAGCGGGGATTTAACGCTGCTGCGAAGCGGCAAGCGAGGAGCTACAGCGGAGCCTACCCGTCGCGCGAGGCCTTGGCGGCCGCCTCTGCTTCACGAGCCTGGCTTCGTTCGGCCTCGCCGGCTTCAGGCCCGCTTCGCGTCCCCGCCGCAGCGCTGAGGCGGAGTAACGGGCAGAAGCGGGAGGAGGAGCCGTCCTCTGGCCTAGGCCCCCAGCCGAGTCCTCCGACTCCTCCTCCAGGAAATGCCGGCGCCTGCCCAGGAAGACCCGGGTCGTAAACACGAGCTCGCCTCCCGCGTAGCCTCGTTCATACTACGGTCAAGGAGGCAGGCGTCCCATTCCTGAGGTAAAAAAAGGGTCCGTCGTCGTCGTCGCCGCCCGAATTCCTGGTGGCCGAAAGCCGAAGCCGCCGCCGCCATCATGGGGAAATCATTCGCCAACTTCATGTGCAAGAAGGATTTCCACCCGGCCTCCAAGTCCAATATCAAAAAGGTGAGGAGGAGGAGGAGATGAACCAGCGGGTTTCCCCTTTCCCCCCAACCCAGCCGACACGCTTCACACACCGCCAATGCACCCATGGCGCGTTCAGACGTGGTAGAGTCGGCGTGTATTCCTCGCTTTGGGAGGCCTCCCCCTTTTAACTTCCAGTGGGTGGTGTGGGATGCTTTCTGTCTTCTGTTCTATAGTGGGAAGGCCTCCTTCTGGAGGGGGGGGGCTTTTCCTTCCTCGGAGGTGTTGGTTTTTTCAAGCAGATGGCCCTCTGCCATAGGCGCTTTAGAGATGAGGGGGTTGGGCTAGATGACCGCCGGGGATCCCTTCCAACTCTACGGTTCTCGGATTTCTGGGGGGTGGGTCCCTCATAGCGCAAAGCGAACCCTCACAGCCTGGAATAATTTCAAGTCATCCCTTTTGTCCCCCAGCATCTGCAGCCCTGGTTTTGTGACCACTTGAGCCTTGGGGGGGGGGGAATTAAGAGGCAAAGTGGGGTGACTGCCTCTGGCGACAGCAGGGAGGCCAATTTGAATAAAATACGGGGGGAGGAGGCAGGTAAGCCGCTCCCTCTGGATCACAAGATTATGGTGCACACGCATCAGTTGAATGGCAATGCCCATCAAGTTTGGAGGGGCCCAGCCCCCTCAAATATTTTATTGGGGGGGGCTGAAGGGAGTTAGATCCATACGCTGGGGCAGAAGATCCCGATCCCCAGCTTTCTTTCCCCTCTTGTTCCTTTAAAAAATATATATTTATACATTTCACTGTTTTTACAATCATTTTGACATTTTAAAACTTGACTTCCTTCCCCCTCTTTCTGCAGTTCCTTAAATTTTTAATATCTTCTGCATATCCAAATTCACTTAACTTACTCATTTATTTGTCTTCTTTAAATATATACTCTTATGTAACTGCAGGTTATTACAATAATCCTGCCAGTGTTTTCATCTGTTTGCAATTTATCTATAAATATTCTCTTTCCCCTCTTGTTCCAGATGCAGATGCTCTCTCACCCCTTCTTCCCTGGCGGGTGGGGTAGAAATGAAACTACTATTTTGGGGTCTGCCTCAGTTGCTGAAATGTCTTGTGCTGGCCCTGGTGGAGCATTTGTCCTCTTAACTGCTTTTTAAAATTAAACCACCTTGGATAGCTCACCCTGGACAGAGCATGGTGCTGATAAAGCCAGTGTTGCAGGTTCAATCCCTGTAGAGCAGCGGTGGCCAACTTCCAAGAGACTGCAATCTACTTTCAGAATTAAAATCTGGCAGTGATCTACCCCCGTTTTTTTAGGGGTTCCTTTTTTGGGGCGGAAGAAAGACTGGTTTTGGGGTGGTTAAGGTGCAGGCTTCTTTGGGGAGGGGAGTTCCATTTTGGGGAGGAAGGCAAGGGAAGGTGGGGTTAACTCACTCACAAAAGCATCGCTATGGATGAAAACAGCCACCCAGAGGGAGCTCCATCTTCCCTTCCTGAGTTCAAACAATGGAGGGCAGGACGAGGAGGCGGTGTCAGATTTACCTATGCAGAGGAAAGGGAGCCAGAGATCGACCATGATCTACCAAAACATCGTGGGGATCTGCCAGTAGATCGTGATCGACCTGTTGTACATCCCTGCTGTAGAGCATGGGTAGGCAAACTAAGGCCTGGGGGCCAAATCCGGCCCAATCGCCTTCGAAATCCGGCCTGCAGACGGTCCAGGAATCAGCGTTTTTTTACATGAGTAGAATGTGTCCTTTTATTTAAAATGCATCTCTGGGTTATTTGTGGGGCATAGGAATTTGTTCATCCCCCCCCCAAAAAATATAGTCTGGCCCGCCACAAGGTCTGAGGGACAGTGAACCGGCCCCCTGCTGAAAAAGTTTGCTGACCTCTGCTGTAGAGGAAAGTGGCATATCCCTGCATTGGGTTGGGTTGGACCAGATGATCCTCAGGGTCCCTTCCAACTCCACAGTTCTATATGCCCTTGATGAGTGCTTAAAATATTTCGTATTCTGTGCCTTGTTGTTCAGCAGGGCAATTCTATATATGCCTGTTCGAAAGTAAGCCCCAACTGAGCTAAATAGGTCTTACTCTCAAGGTTAGCAAGTAAGTGCCAATTTGATACAGGCCATTGAGAACTGTCATTGTGAAAACCATGGGTGATGTTCAGTATTACATGCAGGTACTTCCCCTTCCTCTCTGTCCCCTAAAGCCTGCCCCTCTCAATCTGCTCTTGATTGTCACTGAACTACCTGGGTCATATTGGGGAAGGGTGTACCTGTGAGGCTGACAGGTGTGTAATTACATGGGTCCCCTTGGATTATTTGTTTACATATGGGTTTTACATTGCTTATTATCATCCACTCCACTATGGATACTGACTTTAACATTAAGTTATATATTTCACTTAAAAGATCAATAATGTCCCTTAAGAACACTTGGGTGAATGCCATCTAGCATGGGCAGAGCAGATTATATCTTAAACCGTCCCTGTCAGGGGAAAAGGCAGGGTATAAATATATGATAGAATGGTGAAGCTTAAAAGTTAACATTTTGTCATCTTTATCTGACAGTTATTTAGATGCCCTGCTACCGCTACAAACCCCTGAAAGCTGGGCATTTTACAGATGAGGACAAAATGTTAAATATGTGGTTAACACCTTATTTTCTTGGAAGTTAATACCACTAAAATAAATTGAACTGCAAAGTTAGTGTATTGGCAAGCAAATTCCACCACCAGCACACCAGATAGTCAAAACACTATCTAATCTCTTAAACCATGTAATTGTGTTTACACATATGCTGGCAGTGTTTCCTAATTTATTTGGATTATAGAATTTTAGTACAGATTGCATATAAAGTGGAAATACTTAAATCATATTTGTTCCCTTTAGGTATGGATGGCAGAACAGAAAATAACTTATGACAAAAAGAAACAAGAAGAGTTAATGCAGCAATACCTTAAAGAGCAGGAATGTTATGATAATAGGTGAGAAACAACATTTAATCTTACATTTTAGTAGATAAAAATAAACTCTACTTTTTGTTTTCCTAAAATCTAGCAGATATAAGCATCTCAGTTTGGGACTTCTCATACTACTAATCTGTTTTTGAGTCTCAAACTTTTATTTGAAAAACGGTAAGTTGTATTCACTGAAGCCATTGCGATTCTAGAACACTTATACAATGATATTGTACTTCCTCTCCTTTTTGCCCTTAAACCCTTAAGCCTTGGAACGTAACCCACACGTAAATGGGGAGTTGCCTGTAGATGGATCTTGGCATGTTTGAAACAGGTCTGCAGTTCACTACCTAGCTCCTTAGCTTGCTTCCAACAGATCTGGTGTCAGACCACTCCTAAAGCTTATCAAAGTACAGTACAGTCAAAACCAAATAATGCAATTGGAATTAATAGTAACTTTGAATTTTCACAATTCAGTTGAACTGGAGAATTCCAGTACTTTGTGCATTGCATTCAGAACATGGCACTTTAAATGTATTACTGTATTTTTCCATATATAAGACACCCCCATGTATAAGACGCCCCCAAATTCTGGACATTATTTTTAGGGGGGAAACCTAGTCTTATACAAGGAAAAATACGGTAATTACTTTATGAAGGATATGCTTATCTCTGCTTATACAGTGAAAATTAGAATGTTGAGCTAAAATATTTTAATGTAACCAAAAAGTCTGGGGATATTTCCTAAGCATAACTGCTAGTATTAAAAAATGTTCTTCTTGTATTAGATGTCTATAAAAGTAAACATTTAAAAAGTATATAATCTGTTTCAGAACCATTCTTTGTTGTCAACATTTATTTTAAAATGTTTTAGTATCTAAGACACCCATCTCCTATTTCTTTGTGATCATTCTCATTGTCTTCTGTATAGATTGCTTATGGGTGATGAGCGTGTGAAGAATGGTCTAAACTTTATGTATGAGGCCCCACCAGGAGCAAAGAAAGGTAATTTCTAACATCAACGCAAATATATAAATTATCCCTTTCTGCTGATCTTGGAACCCTGCATAGTAGCTCATAGAACTAAGTTATTGGATTTCTTGATCCTACATTGTATCCAAGGTTTGAATACTATGAAAAGATTCTTAAAGCAGAGTCTTGGGCAGGTTTACTCAGAAGTAAATACTACTAAGTTTAATAAGATTTACTCATAAGGAAGTATGTATTATTGCAGCCTCAGCTACGAGTCTAGAAATAAGACTTTGGGGTTTACATGACTGCAAATAAATGTGCATTTTTTAAAATAAGGAAAATACTTGGATTTAATAAGTGCTCTATGATTTTTAGAGATGCATGATATCCTATTATCTGGATGTTGCCTGCAATATTGATATCTACTTGTCTTTTCTAATGTTTTGTCTTATCTTTTCCTTCTATGCTGATAATGAAACAAGAGAGCAAAGAGGTAATTTTGAAATTTATTTTCCCCCCCTCCAATTATATTGGGCATAAATTTCAAATCACTTGTTTTTAACAGGACTTTATATTTGTTTTTAGCAAGAAGGAGAGACTGAGTACAAATTTGAATGGCAGAAGGTAGCTCCACGTGAAAAGTAAGAATTATTCCTTTCTTATTTGGATAATGCCGTATGCAGAGTTTATTTTCAAGTATGTGCTCTTAAGTCTGAAAAGTATTTGCTCTGAAGTCTTAAGACTGAAAAGGT